GTTAAGTGACATTGACATCTGTTGATGGACCTCTTAACCTTGGGTGGACTTACATCAATGTCATTCATAAATCATAGATCGTTAATTACTATGTGGTAATTTTACGTAAAGTGCCGGTACTACTGCCATAACTCCATTCGAGTCGGTCAGCAACCTTCATGGTATGATTCGGTATTTCAATCCCTTCATAAAAACTGTTATTAAGTTATTAACTTCATTTCGTAAACAAAATATGAAAATACACACCTTAAGAAAATTGGTTTGGGAAATAGGCGTTGGGAACGGATCTCCCCAATCAGTCGGATTTTCGACCATGTAGTTGCTCCCCTACTGTTGCTGCTAATGAAATGGTGCAATTGGGGAAATCTGTTTTTAATTTATTCATTTTACTTGATAGCTCTACAACCATATTCATCCTTCCAGTCAAACTTTGAGCGTCATTCGATAACTAAAGACTCATATTTTAACTCAAGAGTAGTGTTACAGTTTACACTGGAAGGAAATGTATTTCGTTCCCAAATTCACCATTGTAGAGCCGCAGGCTAATGTTACTCGATAGAAGTAGGCTAAGCCCATGGTTGTGCCAATTTTTGACCGGTAAGAGACCTCACTTGTCATAGCTTCGACCTTGACATAGGTACCTTTCAAAACTAATCCATCACGCATTAAATTTGACAATTTGGAAGAGGGTCTTATGTGCACGACACTGGTTGCGCTATGACACGATGCGTACGACGTTGTTTAGCATCACAGTGTGGGACAATATAAATCACATAGACTGATTGATCTTTAAAAATCAAAGTAGAGTTCACTATATTTTTAACCTTTTTAAGGTTCGATAGAATGTAACTGATTGGCGTATGTTTACGCTTCAATTATCTTATAATTTTATTACAAAAACTTATTTTTGGATGAAACAACCTTTTCATTTTATTTTATAAAGACAAATAAGCATCATTTCATTATACAAATATTTAGTTTATTTTTATTCCATCATGCTCATCATTTACCAACTCATTTTCATTGAAGTCATAATTCGACATGAATAAAACCTCGCGCGTTTTGATGAATTAATTAATAATAATTTATGAATATTCATAGCACCTCATCTTCAGGTCAAACCTTAAGCTCATGACCAACCACACTGGTGTCATAAAGTATGCAAAAAATTTGAAATGGCCTCCATGTCGAGGTGCTGAATAGTTTGCCTTGGTATAAGTAGTCGGAATTTGATAGATGGTCAAATTCGATACTGTTTATTGTAGGAGTAAGGCTGCAGTGATCTACAAGACATCTGGCTGGACCAAATCTTTAAACTTTAAAATTAAAATTGAAAGTACCTACACCTAATTAACGTTTCGTTTTGTAGTTTTATATCAAAATGCAAACATAATAGGATTTGCCAACTAAGCTAATTTAGGTATTTCGCTATTTACCGGTGCGACAATTCACACGATTCTAGACAAAACTATTCCATTCAAGTAAAGTTAAGTAATACACACAAATGATGGGAAAACCATAAATACATACATGTATACTTAATTCTAGTGTAGTTCATAAAAATTTTATGTTTAGGTATTTCTAAAATGTTATGATATAATTAGAATAATTTTAATAACTTGAAAAAACGATTTGAATTTTTCAAAATAGAGTTATCTAATGTGTTCTTTAATTTCTTCCAGATTCATACCAAAGTTTGCATGGATGCAAATGACCTCTCCAACTTAGAGCATTTAGTGCGTGAGTTGCAAAAGGTCACTGACAATTCATACAACAGACATCAGTCAAAGACAAGCAAGATGACGCGATGGGCCTGGACTCCTCGTTCCTGCGCTTGCGGCGCGTACGAAGAACCCACCACAGACCAATTCGGAAAAAGCTGCTTTGACAGCATATCGCCTCTTTACTGGCGAGTCCCCATCCTCCTCTGGGCGCTATCTGTGACCACCTGGTCCCTCANTGACCGTTAGAAATCAAATTTTATTAGTTATTTTCATTGATAATGGAGAAAACACTTATAATTTCATCATGACCATACACCATTCGTTGAATATTAAATAACTTGCAAAAAAAAATTTACCTCTAAGCAAGTAATTCCTTAGTAAAATTGTTAAAGTCTTTACCTGTTTGAGTAACATTTTCACCCGTCTTGACAAAATCCGCCATAACTGTATTTTTTAGTGTTTCCTATTGTAAATTTTAAATTTACTTGTACATTGATCTCGGAGCCCTCTACACAGTAAATTCAAATCTAACTAGAGTGATTCAAAGTCAGCACCTGACAATATTGTTCTTCAAGCGGGCAATCACTACCAGTGGGCAATCACTCTCTGGTTTACCCTACTTATGCAAGGTTCAAATAATTTCGAAAGCTTGTAGCGCAAACATAAAAGAGGAATAAATTCCATGAGCTATCGCTCAAGTTTTCGAAATTATTTGAACCTTGCATACAATTATTTTTTTCGTTTTATTATCATGACAATGTGTTAACGGATTAACGATTAACGTTAACTTCCGTTAAATCTTGCTAAATGTAACGTTTTAACGTTTAACGAAGTTAACTATTTGATTAACGGTGCCCAGCTATGAGTAATACACACAAATGATGGTAAAACCATAAATACATACATGTATACTTAATTGTAGTGTAGTTCATAAAAAACTAATGTTTAGGTATTTCTAAAATGTTATGATATAATTAGAATAATTTTAATAACTTGAAAAATCGATTTGAATTTTTCAAAATAGAGTTATCTAATGTGTTCTTTAATTTCTTCCAGATTCATACCAAAGTTTGCATGGATGCAATATATGACCTCTCCAACTTAGAGCATTAAGTGCGTGAGTTGCAAAAGGTCACTGTCAATTCATACAACAGACAGGTCAAAGACAAGCAAGATGACGCGATGGGCCTGGACTCCTCGCTCGTGCGCATACGGCGCGTACGAAGAACCCACCACAGACCAATTCGGAAAAAGCTGCTTTGACAGCATATCGCCTCTTTACTGGCGAGTCCCCATCCTCCTCTGGGCGCTATCTGTGACCACCTGGTCCCTCAGCTCCTTTTGGGGCCCAATAGAAATGTTCTTCCTGTACATGACCCACTGGGGACTGCTCATGGTCGCATTGGAGTCGGCATTCGGTATCGCCATGTGCGTGAAGAAACCCAGAAAGCAACTGCCTGGTAAGTTGTTTAAATAGAGAATGGAATGTTCAGACGGTTTGTTTGTTAAATGCATTCTTTTAGTGAAAAAATTGTGTTTATTAAGAAATATTTTTATTTTTGCTAATTAAAAATCTAGCAATGGCGATATTACAATGACTGATGATCACAAATACCTGATTAACTTAAGTGTAAATGAGTAAACGTATGTCAATGTTTACAATAAACTACACAACCGTCGCATGTCGGCAAGCAAACAGCATAATCTTTTACGCACTTCAACTCAAGTAGAGTCGAGGCTCTCCAAAAATGGGATGCACGTAATAAGGTGTATTTATATGACGTGTCGTGGCAGGAAAATAAATATAGGCTCTTGAAAAAGCATGATGAGAATGTTAATCGCGAACATTTGTTGAGAATGATAAACGAGTATTCAGGTTTGGCATGCTGAATCGATCTATTCTTATGCCAGGCTGAGGTATGCTCCCCGCTGTCAAACACCTGGCCTGCTCTTTTATCTCTTAGACTTAGTAGAGCAAGTCGAGCTACGGAAATAATTTCCATCATCATCCATAAATAACTGAATATTTATGTACCCACCATTTGATTTCGGAGAAAAATGCAACAAAATTACTCAATTCAGTAGTTATCTGCTTCCCTTACTAGTCTTAACTTAATTAAATTAGTTGGTACATTTTATTTAGATTTTATTTTATTTGCGAAATACAAGAGCAGCTGGGAGCCAATTAAAAATTGAACACAGTTCAATTAAGGAGCGTTCTGCTTTATTATTAAGGCACAAAATGGGTAGGTATTCCTCTTTGTTCTGTCTAAATAAATACGAGTAATTACTAAAAATATTATATTATATAAATATAGTTTATTACACATTTGAATTAGTAGAGTTATCAAGGGTAGGTTTCGCAATTAATTACATGAGTGTGGTATTATAAAATTGCAATAAATCCACGAAACACTACTAATGTTAAATGTTATTAACAAATAAGGTTTAAAAAATTATAACATCTAAACATCATCCTTATTTTATTATGATAGTGACCAATTAAGCGTGTATAATTTAAACATGCTATGACTTGAATTTGAATATTAATAAAACTCGAAAAGTTGAAGAGAAGTTCATTACTTCAAAACAAAGCCATTTTGAATACTTAATAACCTTATTCCAAAACTAAATTACGAGTATTTCTATATTTGGTTATTTTCCTCTATTGCAAAAATACAATAAATCGCGTAAGCAGGTAAAAGTTGATGCTTAACACCAACTCAAGAGAAAAGTAAAGTGATCAATTTGGTTCAATGAACGAATATTGTGGTTGACATTTTAAAGTACTGAGTAAAGTACCTACAATAAGACGCAAAAGACCAATGTTCGATACCTATTAATGTCAGTAAACACATTGGGTAATAGGACCCGTATAATAATGACTCTACATTAATATAAATCCGCCGGTTTTGCAATAACACGTGCATTAGGCACTAAATGCAGAGCGTAAATGGTAACCTATGGGTTAAAAGCGCCATAAAGCCATGAGTTACAACAACTGCTGATATCATCATGCGTGCCAAAAAACACAAAAAATTGTGTCATCTCGCGTGTATTCAAAATACATTGCATTTAAGTCTTACTTATGGCATTCCAGGTAATCTCACGGTCATGATAAGTTATCGCTTCCTAGCGATCAAACTACACGAGAATTAGGAAACAAGTGAATTAAAACTAATTATACTAATTTGCATGCGCAGTCGAATGCAATTAATAAAGCATATAGACACTGCACTTGTACAATCGGTCGCTAAAATTATCGTCTTCGTTCGGCCAACCGCCGACGAACTAGGTTATGTCGTAAGACCTTGACTGTTGAATAAGCAACAAGTTCAGTCTCTCAATCGCATCGCAGTCCTACGGTTCGTTGATTTCGCTGTTTTCTCCAGAACCAGTCAGTACAGATGCGAAAACAAGCTGCGATAAACGCGGTCCCGTGTTGTGATATTGTTTCAATATAATTTATTGATAGTATCGTAATAAGGAACGTTGCAGTTTTGCTCATTAAGCGGTGAGCAGCCCGCGAAACAAGGCCAAAAGGCCAGTAGCCGGACGGTGCTTTGTGAGTGTAACCGTAAAAGTCGTTACGTACAATGGAAAGTGTGGCGTGCTTCAAGAACCTCAGGTGGAGGAAGTGTCTTCTCGAGCACAGCTCGCCTTCGGACTTCTACGTGAGCTGCTGGCAGAACAACCACCTGTCATGGCCTCTATTACTTCTGCGACTTTTCCTCTTCCTGTTTTCGGCGTGCGTGTGCGTCGCCTCGTTAATTTTGGAGCCTCACCTGGCCTACTGGCTGATTTACTTCACGCACTGGGGCTTCATCCTCATAGTGGGAACCATTGGATTTTCCACTGCCATCTCCGCCTATGCATACTTTCGAAGACCGATTGGTAAGCATTCGTTTCAATGACCTCGAATATTTATAACGCTTTGTTTTGAGTGACGTCCGATGACGCTGTAGCTTTGTTTGTTTCTTTTTCACCGACGAATAAATGTATCTTTGATAAAATATTAGATAAACGTGTACAAAGTTTTCGTTTCCGTTAAAGTCTTCGGAAAGACCTAGTTAGGAAAGTATTTACGGCCTTAAATATCTTTATCAGCAAACGTCTAGGCTGGAATGAATGTGAACACTAACTACATCCTCTGGCGGACTAATTAGAACCAAGGTTCATACTTATAATTGTTGAACTTTACTTTGCTCGTCCAACCATCAATCGAATAGTCGAACTGTTTACCTATTTTTTTATTTATGAAATTATTATTCTTTACTTCAAAACTTCAACAATAGTAATCGAAGTCCATTACTTTACTCCAAATTAGAGTTAAGTTATTGTCTAAGAACAAATTTTGTGCTTTTATTTTGTGGTTAAATGATGTTTTTATAATTATCCTGTCCATGTCTATTGTTAATAATAAAGATCGGGCGCACGTAGCTAAGTTGAGATCACGTCTCGCGGCCGACCGACCTCGTGCCGCTTGGAGCCCTAACGGCAGATCACAAGGGCTCTATCTTTTATCCCCTATGACTAATAAAACGAAAAAACTTGAAAAAGGTTATGTTACTCTTTTTTATTTGTAAATATTTAGTCTATGTAGGTTAATTATTTGTATTATTCTTAATCTCTTAATTCTATACTTTTAATAAACTTATTTTTAGATAAGAACAAATAATATTGTATTAGAAAGTATACGTATTTCAATATTTTCAGTTCGTTCAGCAGTCTAAGGTTTTCGCGAAAAGCGATCCGATACAGACAAACTAATCTTTACTAAACTCCCCCAGTCCAAGGGCATGAAAAAATTGCTTTACTACCTCAGCAGGTAGTCGTAGAACGGCAGAATTTTTTTTTCATGGTAATTGATTATGTTGTAAATCATTATAACCGGATAATAATTATTTACAAAATATAATATCCTCACATACTTCTAAAATTGTGAAACATGTTAATTTCCTACTCGAATAATTTTTTTTTTAGTTATAGCTGTAAGAAATTTACGAAATCTAACCAAGCTAGATTCCACAAAATCTATGTAGAGTCATAAAAGAATGAAGATACCTACCCAGTTCCAGAAAATACAGTGCAGCTGCGAAGTACCTAGTTAGATAGTTACTCGTAATGTCAATTTATAATTGTAATGTTATCATGTTACTAGACGTTTCTAACAGCATATCTCGCGCCTCGCTTTATTAATGTAAATTCAATAAAATAGTCTAGTATCACTATCGGACTATCGGAATAGGTACTTATTAAGTAATTTAGGGCCACTTCCAATTGATCTATGCCACAGCACTATTAAAAGGTAAAGTGACTTTGAATAATATTGACGGAACAAGACTAAATATGTAATTATTATTAAAATGTTCAATATTTGAAATAGGCCTAGATCTAAAATATGTTATGCGATAAACAAACAATTTCGTGTTCATGCTAATACTGACGTCATCACACACAACACCGGCTATGTTTGACACGCTCGTTTGTGTTTGTAATGAGATAGAAACCTTGATCTTAAAGCTTACTTCGTTTTATATCCTACCAATAATATAAATGCGAATTTTTTGAAAATGTAATTATGTTTATTACTCTTTCACGCAAAAACTACTTTATTATATGGATTTTGATGGAACTTTACATAAAAGGAACATCAGAATATAATAGAACATAATAGGTTATAATTAAACAATAATAACTTAAGTAGGTGACAAACTTAATTTCAGGCGGGTGAAGCTAGCTTAATATAATATACCCATTATTAATATACTTAATATACCCATTGATCTTCTTATAATGTCTTCGTTTCCTTTACAAAAGGAAAAGGAATTTTAATCAGTTACATTTAAGGAAGGTTTTTGTTTATTTACTCCTCAGATGCAACATTCGGGCTGCCATGGTACGTGAAGGTCTACTGGGTGCTATACAACATTACTATTCCAGTGGCTTTCCTCATCACCGTTTTCTACTGGGGAATCCTAAAAACTTGTAAGTTCGAACTTATCTTTTAAACGTTAAATATTTACGGTATTAAATAAATAGTTAAATAGTAATAGAAACTCCTTTTCAAGAATATATTTGTTATAAAAACTACATAAGTACTACACTTAAACCTTCTTAAGTCATATCCTGTGATCATACCTTTTTCGGTTTGTAAATCAGCGAACTCTACATTTTCGCTAAGATGCCTATGTTAGGTTTTGACCATGAATTATTTACACATTTGCCACAAATATTGGTTTACGGCAAACCTCGAACGCAGAATGTAAGGTACTATGTATTGACAGACGTGCGTTTTGCAAATGTTAGCGCACGATGATGTATAAGAAGGTAGGTACGTTACTTATTTACTTGCGTATTCCTAAAGTAATATTGTGTAAAGTGAACCCGTAACTTAACTTACCACGACTGATCTAGGATGCAACAACTTTCCCTAAGGGGCTAAAAGTTGATCCATGTGATCAACTTTTAGCCCCTTAGGGAAAGTTGTTGCATATCAGCAGTACGCTAACATAAGATGTTTCAAACCTACTTCCTATTCCTTCCTATGGTTCATTCTATTCATTGATTTGTTTCATTCTATTCATTGATGTCTTTTAAACAAAGTTACATTAAAATATCATTAAGTCAAAATATTACAACAGTTATTTTTCTACGAAGTATTCCATTTCAGACCCTTGTTGGGTCTCGGATACATTTTCCTATGGAATAATACTAATAGCAGTAATAAATGCCTTTCAAACCCGCCTGGATAGTGCGAGGATGCCAGATCCTCTTTAACCTCTGAATACGAGATGGGGCAAAGGGCGTCCACAACAGTCCTCCATTGCGTTCGGTCTTGAGCTTCGCGTTTAATCTCGCTCCAAGTCTCGCCGATTTTCTTCGCCTCATCTGCTACCGTGCGCCGCCAAGTTTGCTTGGAGCGACCACGTTTGCCTGCAGTAGAGACTAAAGAAATGATCCTGATGATGATGATGATGATGATGAAGAAAGCGATTTTTGCACATTATCTAATTGTTTTTTTTTTATAAATTCCAGCCAACAAGATCCAGAACTACGCGCCGAACCCGGTTCTGGACATAATGCTGCACGGCATCAACTCTTTAGTGATGTTCGTGGAGCTGGTGTTCTCGGGGCACCCCAGCCGGCTGCTGCACATCATGCAGCCCCTGTTCTTCGCGCTGGCTTATCTCCTCTTCACCGTGGTCTACTTCTACGCAGGTGGCAATGACCCGTGAGTTGACTTTTGACTATTGCTTGGAAAATTACTTGACTTTTCCCTTCCGCGACAATGAACTGAATGTGTTGATAACATATGATATTAGATTGTAACAATACTACGAGTAGATACAATATTTTTTCGGGAGTAGGCAATATTTTTTTTAAAATCAGTATAAATTTTGAAACTTTTCCCCTACAACCTAGATTCTTTCTTAGAACAAAAGATCTACCAAAGATCTAGATAATTACCATACCAGTTAAGACAGATTGTATGTGATTGTGTATTGTCCAAATTAGTTGTTGTACCAGTTACAAAAATACAGTAGGTTTTTCTAATTTCCTATTTTTCCGGATGAAATGAGTCAACAAGCAGATTTATCTAAATGACCGTCATTTAGTACCTATCATATGCACAATGGCACTATCTCGTTATTTTATCATTGATCAGTGTGCTTACCATGAGTTTACATTAGGTGTGCTCGCTAGCGACTGCGTAAAAAAATGACATTAATTGTATGACATATTGTGCAGCGCCCCTAGCGGCTACTTTCAAGAAACAAAATCTTCATAGAGATTTTTGACGTACTCGCTAGCGAGCACACCTAACGTAAACTCATGGTAGGTACACAGTAAAACGTTATAATTTTACCTAACGATCAATGAATAAACGATTACCTATACAATGCACATCAAGCGGCATCTAATGTACCTACCTAGTTGTAATAGGTGTGATTTTGCAATTAAATACATTATTTGATTCTGCTGCTGTACCTACGCAATTTGTGTTTTATCGAAGTTTTATACAGTTCAGGATATTAATGTTTATGTGGTGTCCGTTTATTTAGTTGCTTCATACTACCGAATTCACGTCGAATTATCTACGAGTTATCTATGGGCTAGCTAGATGATTACATTTCCATGTTAGACAGTAATATATTGAATAGTTAAACGACTGCATGCCGCTGGTGGCGTCTAAAAATTTATTTTTATTGTCTAGTAATACTAAGCATGTCGAAATATCGTCGGTGCGATCAATGGGAGAAACCTTGGCAGTGTCGCAACTCCTGCAATTGGTACTTGATCGTCTATTGGAGCTTCAAATGACCTTTTTATAATAAGGAGATAAATCAAGATATTCCGGTGACGTACACACGAATAATATTTCGTAATTCGTCGACCTCGACGAGGTCACCGCTAACTTAGTTTAATGACCAGGGACATTGAAAAATATAAATTATGTAGAGTCGGTAATATTCACACAATATCGAATCGTGTAACCATTATTAAATTTCACGGCATTGCAACATGTGATTAAATAGCCTGTTAAAGTGATCATTCGAAGTTGAACATTTATTCTCGTTGTCTACATGAACTGCACTGTTATGGTTGCCCTTGACTAACTAGTGAAATACTCTGAATTTTCCTTTCACGAACGTAAAATTTGTTTCATTTTGATAAAATATTTATAATTATATTAATTAATTAAGTAAAAACCCATCGTTTGCCTGCTTTTGAAGTACTGATAGCATTTTAATATCAGAAAAATAAAAATAGTATAGGATTTTTTTCCTGCTGGAGTAACAAAGTACAAGATATGTCTGATTCAATGTGGTCTTTTATTTTAATCAAAGTAAGCCTCTCCGGAATATTTGACATAAATCTCTCTATAGCATGACTCCGCAATAAAAATATGGGTTTACTGCCACCTGTCATCATCATCTTCTGTATTTCAGCTGGGGCAACGCCTTCATCTACCCCGTGATCGACTGGTCGAAGCCGGAGCAGACGCTGGTGGTGGTGACGCTGACGGCGCTGTTCCTGGCGCTGATGCACCTACTAGTGGTGGCCGTGGCCGCCGCCAGGGACGCCATCTCGCGGCGCCTGCGCACCACCGCCGGCATCTACAACGACGGCTTCGGCGAGGAGTCGTAAAGTGCTACTGTTCAAACTTACTTGGAATTGCAGCAAAGACCATGTTTTAGACAGATAAGCGTACTTGAAGTTGCAACTCTTCCTAGCTACTACGTCTAGTTTTGAAGATCTAACTCGTAAAATCTACCCCATGATCGACTGTTCGTGACGCCATTGCGCACCACCGCCGGCATCTCCAACAACGGCTTTGGCGAGGAGTCGTAAAGTGAACAGCTGCTCAAACTTATTTGATATTGCAGCAAAGACAATTTTCTTTTTGTCGTGTCGACAACAAACCTATACAGTGTCAGCTGAAAACTCCGCAACTTGTTCAAAAAAGGCGTTGTCAGTAGCATTCATTAAATCTTCCTGCGCGTGCAGTTATTTGGGCAGACTTTATTTTGAACAGTAATTATTAAGCTTGGCGTAGTACGAGTATCATCCCGTCCTAATACGTCTAGTTTTGGACGTTTGATTTTGTGATTTTTTTTATCCATTTACCACAAAATCCTAGAAATATAGACCAATTGCTTTTCGGACCTCTCTCTAGCATGTGATAAATGACGTGACCCCATGATGACGTATTTATCTTCGACCATGGCAGAACTACGTAAACAACTGTCTTACCATTACATAACGTTCTCCGATCAATGACACCATAGTATGATCACATTAGGTTAGATAATTTTAAATTATTTAATGTTGTAGTATCGATACTCTATAATCTACACTTTAATACCATGTTTAATGTAGAGTTTTCAGATTAATCAAAAGACATATCAACAAAACTTGTTTTAGTTTATAAGGGAACTGAATGGGTTCTATTATTATAAGTAGAATTGTATTGTGAAATTAAATTCTGTTTACATATACCTAAGTTACGTAAATAGATGTAAACTCACAAAATGTAGTATAGTAGGTATAAACCATTTTGATTTAAAGCGGACTGTGATGTAAGTTATTAACCTTTTTTATTATGTTTGAGAAGATGTATGCTACAATTGCTTGATACGAGTATATTATATTACAAATAGTTATAACCTTTTTGCTCAATATTGTCTTTATTTCTCCAGATCGTTAATTTTTCATTAATTTTCTAGGCCGTTTCCAATTTTATTGTTTACTCCCTGTATTTTTTCCCAATCTGTCCTCTATTGTTATGAATTGGTTAGTTAGTTGTGCTGTGAGTGTTTTTAATGATTTTGATGTTGATTTTATTGAAAATAATTCAATTAAATTCAACCTTGAACTATCGAAATGCCGAAATAGTAATAGTATAGGTAGTACGAATATGTGTATTGTTTATTATTAGTTGCTTTCTTATATTACATCGTGTTTGCTCAATAAAATTATAATGGCCAAATAAGGCTGATCTCTTAACAATCCATGTAAATTATAATACTGTTAATTTAATCGTTACTTTTCAACATTTTTAAAAGCAATTTAAGGAAGTAAAACATTAGATGGGATCTCAGACATTATAAACTCTATTCAAAATTGTTATTTTTTTTAGACAGATTTATTTTTTATTTTATTTTATGCAAAATCCTATTAACAATATCTTTTGTTTAACAATTTGACTGCATTTTATGCACTTTTAATTATGTATCAAAATATATGTAAGTTAATGTTATAAAAAATAATCTTTTTAATATGGCTAGGTTTTGGTACTTGCATACTTTAAGGTAGGTATTTATTTGTTTCTATGTTCAAATATTTCTAAGAATTGGATTTCATAAACTTAATTAAAAAACAAGTACAATGAAATAAAAAAATAAGTACCTAATACAAAGAAGTTTTATTTTGTAAATAACAAAATTAATAAGAATCTTGATTTTTGATAAAACATAATGATTGCGCGGCCACAGACAGCTTTAATGGTAGGTATAGTGGGGAATTTTAATGAGTTCAAACTCTATCAAACGCACAAAAAATATACATTAAAAAGTATACCCTCGATTCGAATTCATTATAGTATGTAATGACAATTCATTTTTATTGTGTTAATGAATGCGTCATTAGAATGTGCATTTTTATTGATAAAGCGATCGAATAGACTGCACTCTAAATGCAGTAAACATAACTACTGAATGAAACTACTACCAGTGTGTAGACTATATTAAAGCTCTACGTATGAACTTGAGGAAACTATGTGAATGGACTTGAGCTGAAAATCGATAGGCCAACGAGGTTCATTAATCCCAAGACCCAGTGTTAAGTGTAATAGTGATTTAAGTTCATTGACAAACTATACCATGCCATGTTCACGGGTCAGTCAGTTACTGGAGTGAAGTGATATAGAGCTGTTCGTTGGAACCGTTATTATTAAAAATAGTTTTTTCCTGAAAGATTACAGTTCAAATTTAGGGTTTTACCAATTTGCAGCCCACACAGCAACCTACATACACGTGTATCAGGTGAATTAAAATATTTTTGTAAGTATTATTTATGTATAATTTAAATTGGTGACCCATACCATAATGCATACATAGTATTACGTCCCTATTAATTTAATTAAACAGGGAAAAGTATATGGGACCACTCTCAGCCCTTGTTGCTAGCATAACTTTCACGAAGGTAGTTTTTAAAACTACCTATAGGCTACCTGAAATGGTACGTAGTTTTAATACCTTGTAAAATATATTTATTTATTTTTTTAATCCCTTAAGGAATGTAAGAGACCTCTGTAAATATACCTTCAAAATTGCGAATAATATCTAAACACTTCAAAATATTAATATTCTCAGCACTACTTCCCTCCCTCTATCTATTCCGGACTAATGAGTATTACCTAAGTCAGTTTGTATAATAAAAATCTCATCAAAAACAATACTTGTCAAAAAAACCAAGTCTCGTAACTCAGTTGTTCTACGGTAAAAAGTTGTGAGATCCATGTAATACCAAGTCCAGGCCAGGAAATCTTTAACGTTTTACATAAATATATTGACTTGGCCATCGCATGAAATAATTTAATTTACACGTGTTTTCATGCGATGGCCAAGTCAATATTTTTATTTTATTTATGTAAAACGTTAAAGATTTCCTGGCCTGGACTTGGTATTACATGGATCTCACAACTTTTTACCGTAGAACAACTGAGTTGCGAGACTTGGTTTTTTTGACAAGTATTGTTTTTGATGGGATCTCATTTCTTTTTGTATTTTGTAGACAGCAGTTATGTATCTAGAAAACTGGACCGAAATTGAAAAATTTTACTCGACTTGGCGGTTGCACTACCGTGCCCCCAAATATTTTAGTTTTTCCTTGATTCATACACCAAACACTACTTATATTCCAAATTTGAAGCTTCTAGGTCTGCTAGAAGTGCCTTAGAATTTTGATGATCGGTGAGTCAGTCAGTGAGTGACAAAATTAAGAAACTTTGACCCGTTATAATTCTTAAACTACTGGTTCAAATTGAATGAAATTTTAAATATACCGTGTCTTTACAATGCCTGCATAGCTAATGAAAATTCAGCCTTCTAGTTTTATCCACAACGAAGTTACAGGCGGTCGAAAATGGCCTGAATTGCTTCGAGAAAAGGATGGTACGGCCGTGCCGCTTTTTTGCTCGACTTGGTGGGGGCACTGCCGTGCCCCCAGATTAACAATGACTATACATTATACTTTCATAAATTTTAACAACAGAGACGTTTCGTTTGATGGTTTCTCATTATCTACTACCGGTATGAATCAATATCATGCAGAAATCGTGATACGTCACATTCAGACTCTTATCGTCGATGATCCACAGAAATCACTAATTCTAATCTGATAAAAAAATACCAGGCCCGCGGACACATGCTCAGTGACACCGGCTCCGTCGACATGGGCGCGACTAGAGAATATTTTAAGGATCAATTTAGTGTGAATAAACTCACTTTGGATCATGGGAATGCTTCGGAGTTCTACGTGGGCTGGTGGCAGACTGGCCAGTCGGCGGTGCACCTGCTGTGCCTCAGGCTGATTCTGTTCCTGGGATGCATCGGCATCTTCACCACATCCTTGGTCATGACGTCAGGGGCATTCAGCCTGAACTACTGGGCGATCTACATGACGCACTGGGGAGTGCTCATGATCATGGTGACCAGTGGACTTGCCTTCATGGTGTCGCTAGTTGCCTGCATCAACGGAGATATAGGTAAATGTTCATGCTTCATTCTCGTGTTCGTGTTTTGTATATTAGAATCACTTTTTTTGGTAGTTGACACGAATAACCAATGATTCTCTAAAAACACTTTATTTAATCAATCGATTGAATAAGTAGCCCTGAAAACTTAATTCGTTTTTCAATGAACTGTAAAATTAGATTTTCAGTCAAACTGACTTAAATGTTAATGTGTCTTTTCAGATGCTGATTTCGGTTTGCCATGGTACGTGAGGGTCTACTGGGCTTCCCTCGTCATTACGGTGCCCGTGGCCTACTTCATCACAATATTCTACTACTCTTTCTTGACTGCTTTGGGCAAGTTCCTGTTTAAGAATTACTCCTTTAACTTTAGCTCCTACAGTAAACTTGTAGTAACATTTCTCTGACTCTCAATTTGTCTTCGTTTACTAAATCAGGCAACAATAATCTTTTATTGTTTTATAGGTATTATGATTTCGTGTTGCACAATCAAACATTATTTCCCTTCATTAATCATGAATTTAAAAAATTATACAAAGCTTTAAACATGACGCTTCAGTTTCCCGCCAAAAAGCATCAAAGTTTTTGTGTAAGCATCAAAGCTTCTGTCCATGTTTTCTTGCCCATTTGACTTCTTTATGATTTCAGCCTAAGGCTGGGTTGCACCATCTTACTTTAACTTTAACAAACGACCAAAGTCTGACAAACTCCATACAAAAACACCGATTACGATTAAAGTAAGGTGGTGCAGCTTTTATTTAGTTTTTAGCTGAAGACTAAATAACAATTGAATGTAAAAAATATTACTTATTCTGTTAATTTCTGTCTTTAGCTGAAGAATTCGCAGTCAATCCCGTGCTGGACTTCTTCATCCACGCAATGAACTCGATAGTCATGTTCCTGCTGCTGATGACGTCACGGCACCCTGTGCATCTGCTGCAGTTCGTCTACCCGTTCGGCTTCGCAGTGGTCTATATGGCCTTCTCCATCATTTACTACTACGCGGGAGGAACTAATCCGTAAGTTTTCTACTTACTACTACTATGGCTAGTGGCGAAATACATAGGTTGAATGGGAGTTTTACATTCATTGACAGTTTTAACAAGGGTACTTGAAGTCTGCTGTATTTAGCTAAGCTGAATGAGTATAAGAAAATTGTAACTACTCTTGAACCTTCTGATCACAGCAAGATCGAATACTTTTACGTTGGTTTTGGTTTAGTTAGAACGACAAGTGCAAAATTTCTTGGTCTTCTTTTTATTTTACATTTAAATATCTCAACGAAGATGAAAGTTGCATTCGCTGTTAGTGTTTGTTGTGTGAACTAATTTTCTATTAACCTTTCAAGAAACGGTGTCAATTCGATAGCGACCTATTTTAGATCAATATTTTAACTGACAACATATTAACAATTGATATAATGACGCTTAGTTTTAGTAAGTACTTCATCATTAAACGATGAATCATTGTAGCCAAAGCTAAATGATTGGTGTGAGTTCAAATATGTGTATTTCACCCAGGTGAAACACACATACCTAGTGTAAAACCAATTTTGAGTTGCACCTCCGTAACCGGTGCTTTTTGTATGGAGTTTGAAAAATTTTTGACGATTGTTAAAGTAAGATGGTGCAACCCAGCCGTAATGTTTCCGGTATGGTTAGAATGTTCAACCTACTCGTTACGTTAAATCTTCGGTCCAATTGAACCAAGGCAGAACTGTAACAACTAATACAATGTTACAACGATAGAAGAAGATTACGCAGTTCATAATACATATCACTAAACATACATATTATGTATAACACTAAACTCCGTTATTCCAGACAAGGCGAAGTCTGGATATACCCAGTGCTGGACTGGTCCAACCCCGGCCTGACTACGGGGGTGGTATTCGGGTGCGCGGCGCTGGTCATCATCGTGCACTGCCTGGTGGTGCTCATGGCGCTGTTCCGGGACTACCTCACCAGCACCTGCCTCTCTAGCAAACGGAACAGCTTAGATATCGCAGAGTATTGATAAACACGTTGGTAGAGACAGAATTTGTACCTGGCCGTCGCCAAGACCGGGTCGTTGGGATTAATAAACTTGTCAACAGTGAAAGGGGAAATATGGCAAATATTAAGCTAAATATGGCATGAAACGTAGACGTAATTAGTATCTACGATTTTTTTAATGCATAACAAGGCAGTTATTTGACCACAATCGCACCTGATGTTAAGTGGGATGCAGTCTAGGATGGCACATATCTGCCCTGTAAGTGCCTATTCACTCTCGCCTTGAAAATGCCCGGATTATAGTCTTCGGGAAAGACAGCAGCGATTAGATGCGTTTTTAACTAAAACAAAAAGTTTTCACAATCATATAGCGTTTCCAAAGCATATCATCCAAAGATTGTTGATGTTTGAACATCATTGCCCAATAATATGATTCAGCAAAATCTTTGTGCAATTCAACAGCAACTCAAATTGACTAATATAATACGTTTAAAAGTGTATTCTTCTTCATGGAATTTATGTACCTACTACCTACATGAACATCTGATAGAGCTCTATTTACTATTGGTGCGTATTAGTGATGTAGAGCTTCTGAGGATATTGAACATTAACGGTTCTTTATTATGTAAAAGGTGTTCGTTTATATTGTTTAAATGTGGATTTTTTAACAATAAAAAATTGATACCTCAAATTACTTAGAATGATTGTAGCTGTAATATATTATTCGTTTTTGTTTTCGGGGTAGGTAGATTTAAGCTAAAGTGTTTATATTTTTGTAAATAAATTATTTAATACATCCAACATACTATTTTCATTTCTTTTATATAATTGTATTGAAAGAAAGAAAGAAAGAAAAATATTTATTTGGCACTAAATGATACACATTGACAATGACAATATAAAGCATAAATAATACTGGTTTGGAACTGACTCATAAAAACTGAATAAGTAAGTACTTACCTACCTACCTAAAGTTTTTATCTTATTACGAATATTTACAATAATGATAACAAGTATTAATCTATATACGTGTCGCAATCTTTTTCCGGGATTTTAGAATAAATATTAAGAATACCTTAAATAAGTTTACTAAGCCAACACACATTTACTAAGCCTACCTACATGGTGTCCCAAAAAATAGTGTCAAGCCAAAGCCCAGAGGTAGAGCATCACTAGGGCTACCCGGATCAAAAATCGTAGAACATACATGGATATGTGGGTAGGTGATTTGGATAGCTAGTACTCTACCTTCGGTTTGAGACTAATTTTTGGGACATTATATATATAAAATGCAAAAAAGTTGATAAAACTCTACATCACTCTTGAAAAGTCGATAAACGCGCAAAAGCGCTTTAAATCTATTAAAAAATCAAAAACAAATATGTTACTAGATGCGTTTTGTTAGTTTTTATTATAACAAACCCCAATCTATGACAAAAGCGCCATAACGGCTAATCTAAGATAAACGATATTTTTTATAAACTCAATGTTATCAACACCACGCAGTCGCTAGCGTCGCTCACGCCAACATGGCTGCGATCCGAAAACAGTTTCAGTTGGATAAATTAATGTTGAAAAATGATACCGCTTCAGATTTCTACCTTGGCTCTTGTCAGTGCAATCGGAACGCTCTGCCTCTGTTATGTATGCGACTCGTCCTGTTCCTTGGCTGTGTCAGCATGCTGCTGTCCTCGATGCTACTGCCAGAGAGAATCGTCGACATCGCCCACTGGCCCATCTATATGACACAGTGGGGCCTCATCATGATCACCGTTACTTACGGGCTCGCGACCGCTGTGTCTGCTGTAGCGTACTTCAAAGGACCGATTGGTAAGTCATCTAAGGCCTTATTCACAAACTAATGGATATGCATCCTTTACAATCTGATACCAAAGCAATTCGTGTGTTGGAGAGCGATATAATGCACTGCGATAGTCGCTAGGATACCAAATCGTCTAGCCAAATACTCACTTGTTTTATTATCAGTAAAATGTTGTATTTGTTTGTGTAAAAGTTTTGTTTTTTTACGGTTGCCTTGCTGGTTCGTATCTAGATTAATAGGGCAACTGTGATTACAACAAGTGCAAATCAAGCTTTTTAATTAGTTAATATAATAAAAAAAAATAAATGCACAGAAAATTATAAATTAAGATCAATTAACTTCCGTGCGGTAAAGCCGCTATTTCCTTCACTGATCTAATTTTTGTGTTTATTCTTGCAACTTTTTTGTTTCTCGTAATGTGACTATTACCTACCTTAACGATCGTCTATTATAATTCAGAATTACGTCGGGTCTCACAGAACAGCGAATATTCAGCAGAATTTAGGGGACGAACTTGACAAAGTTTCCCTTTTTATTATTGTTTCAGATGCAACTTTTGGCTTGCCGTGGGTGGTCCGACTCTTCTGGGGCAGCTACTGCATCGCGGTACCACTCGCATTTTTCATCACAGCCTTCTACTACCTCCTAGTTAGGCGTATGTACACATGTTTGTATTTAACACGGTAGAGGGATGGGTTGACAAAATGTCTACCTATATAAATAAATATCAAAACGAAAAGATAAAATAATGCCCATTGACACGTACCTACTCGTAAGTTACTATGGAAGTGGCTTCCACTCCAGAATATGGCTACCCCATCGGCATACCCATTACCACTTCAATTTGCTAATCCACGGCTTATATTCAGCAATGGATATCCTGTCACTGTGGCTGGTGGAATGATGGTGATGATATTACATGGAAGTACTAATACTACCTACTGAAGCAATAATAGCCAAAACGCGTTCAAACCCCGCCGCGTCGTTGAACTATTTAAATGGTGGCCCACTTGTAACACAAGCATTTAGCTTACCACGAGGGGTGAACGGTCACGAAAAACGAATACTTAGTCTGAATTATCAAATCCGTATAATGAAAGTCTTGTACATATCTTGTAAAATCAATAATGTATCTTCGAAAAGAAGAATATATGTATAACTTGTTCGCAGCTACTATCTCCGAGGCCTTTGAAGTGAACGAAGTGCTAGACGTGTTCACTCACGGCATCAACTCGGTGGTGATGTTCATACTGCTGATGACGTCCAACCTCTCGATATACCTCGTGCAGTTCTTGTACCCGATGGCGCTCATGCTCGTCTACATGATCTTCAGCATCATCTATTATTATGCAGGAGGAACTAATCAGTGAGTAATCATGTATAATTGCATAAATTAACCACATTTTTTCATTGTTTTTAACTCTAATCTCAAGGGATTAAGATCTATTTAATTTAACTTTTGGCAGAAATATGCGTTTAAGGATATACGTTATTCACCTAGGTTCATCTCAAGGCTACCCTTGTCTAATTTGCGTGCGGAAATTATAAACTGAACGAGAACAATAAACTGCTGAAATGGAAGCTTATGATACAATTATAGAAAACTCGTCTCGGCCCTTTTTTTCCGCATTTTTGACTTGGTATAATCAAATCATCTAAGTTTATGTCTAAAATCTCATACCTAAGGTACTTAGCCTACCTTTTTCACAGTTATCATCATAATCATCACTTTCCACACAGCTTACATGTATGTACGAGTAATTATAAGCATGTATTTATTCAGGAATGGCGATCGCTGGATATACCCCGTCCTGGACTGGTCGGAGCCCTCGACAGCCGTCGGTTCGGTGTTCTTAGCCCTGGTCATGATCATCAGCATCTACATTCTGGTGTTCTTCATGACGCTGCTCAGGGACCTGCTCACGCGACGGTTTAGGCACACTACTTTACTTATCACTGATTTATGAAATCTAAATGGAGAAGAGACTCTGAAATTCGATATTCTAACGTAAATAAACCTACTTAGTCATAAGTTATAAATTAATGAAAGTTTAATAAATAATATTCTTTTAAGTGCCTCATAAAGTTTAATTAGTCTTTTCAATAAATGAAACGAAGGTCAAAATCAATTTTGGCACGGCCGATAAGAAACTAAACCAACCTGATAACGTACGCTCTCTATCGCTATAGTGATCGATAACAGTCATTGGTTCACGTTCTCAGCCGAAAAACCACCATGAGTGCGATCAAGAGTTATTTTAAAGAAGAGCTTCAGCCTCGAAATCTCGGTGTGGATCATACGAAGCCATCGGACTTCTACCTGAGCGTTTGGCAAACGAATCGGTCGAGCGCGCCACTTTTATTTTTGCGTACACTGATCTTTCTGACATCTATCGGTATAGTGTTGGCTTCTATTACAATTTACATTCAGAAAGGCCAGTTCTCGTTTTGGTTCATATACCTCACGCACTGGGGACTCAGTGTTATGACATTTGCGAGTTTCTTCTCAGTTGTGGTGTCTGCACGGTGCTACTTCTATGGACCCTTGAGTAAGTACACAATATTAATTTATAACAACATCGATATCATCCTTTCCTTCATCGTTACTTCTTTATCTTCACTGTAAGGTGTGTACTCATTATCTACACTAATATTATAAAGAGGAAAACTTTGTTTGTTTGTTTGGTTGTAATGAATAGGCTCAAAAACTACTGGACCGTTTCTAAAAATTCTTTCACCATTCGAAAGCTACATTATCCACGAGTAACATAGGCTTAATTTTATTTTGGAAAAAAATAGGGTTCCGTAAAATATGTAGATAATGTAGTCCACGCGCGCGAAGCCGCGGGCGGAAAGCTAGTAGATAATAATGTTAGGTATGTCATACAGTATGAATAAATTTGGTTACCTATCGATATCCAAGCTTTGTTTATGGCTTAGCAGACACACAAATTATTATTGGAAAATTAACAATATCAGAATCTAGATATTAATCGAAAATAATTTCTTACTATCTACATGAGTCATACCGTTGCATAAACGTAAACGTAACGCCCAAAAAGTATTCGTCTTACATTTGATTGTTGTCACAAATAGCAGCGATTGCCTTGTTTGCGCGGCAGGCTCCGAATTCTTGCTGCCGTGGTACGCGCGCGTATACTGGCTGCTGTTCAACGTGGCCGTGCCGATCGCCTTCCTCATCACCCTGTTCTACTGGACGGTGCTTTTTGAAGGTCGGTATCAATATGAGAACTCTATCATTCCCCTAACGTAGTAGGAAAAATAAAGCTTCATAGAATTTTAAAATCGTCGTACTTTCTGTGTCCTATTACCTTACTAGTCATACCTCTACAACTTATTAGTAATATCTGCCTCTGAGAAGAGACAACTTTTGATGTGATAGAAGACTTTCTTCTCGTATCCTTATGTCTAGATACGTCTAAGCACTAAAGTTCGTACGACTAGTAGGTACAACCACAGGTACTACTGACACAACCATGTACGAGTAGGTAGGACAAGCTGTGAGGTTGACATAACAACAGCTTGAGAAAACTCTAGATATCTTTATAGCTATTCTGCACTCTACATCTATGACTTTTATACATGATGACTTCTCTAACTTACAGCGGGCATCGAAGAAGAGTTAAACCACGGTTTAGACGTGGCCGTCCACGGAATCAACACCTTGCTGATGTTCCTGCTACTCTTCACGTCGTCGCACCCCAGCCGCCTGCTGCACTTCTACCAGCCCACGTGTTTCGCCTTCACCTACTTTTTGTTCACCGCCGTATATTTCCTCGCCGGCGGCACTGACGCGTGAGTTATTAAACCACTTTAAAAGTCCTGTCATTGAGAAGAATTGAACCACGGTCTGGACTTAGTTCCTGAGGTTTCTCGTGCTCGTCACGTTGTCGCACCCCAGCCGCCTGCTGCACTTCTACCACCCTACGGTTCGTCTTGGCCTTCACTTTACTTCCTGTTCACCACTGTGTATTATCTCGCAAGTGGTAGTAGATACGTGGGTTAACTAATTATTTTAAGAGCCTTTTATGAGCTGCTGCCATCTGATATCGCTTAAAATTACTGACATGCCCTCCGAAGCACGGATAAATTATTGTACCTACCTACCTACTTGTACCTATTCATAAACTGGCAAGGTATTGTCATTGCACATCCTCATAGATTTAGCTAGAGTTAAAATATTCAGGCAGGAGTACTTACTGACCTGAAAAGTGTGTCAACACAACCCGGGTTGGAAAAAAATACATGACTCTATATTGATTTATATTGAAAGGTGCTTCACGTCTCGCCCAACCCGAGAGCATAATACAGCTCACCGATAAAACATCCTTTCTCGTTGGGTAATCAAGTGATGCAAGACTGCAAGCCAGCAATGTCCCAGTAACGGGAAATCCCACAACCGATTTAACCACTTTGTGTCCTTCACTGCCACCTCCGGGTCTAGAGTGCTACTCGAACGCTTTCTGAAAAAGATATTAATTCACTTATCCATCTCACAGAACCTTGACATCTTTAAAATATGGAGATACAGGTAAACCTTTAACAAGAGGTTAAGTGGCATCATGTTTAATTAAAATTTCTGCGGATCGATCAAACCAATGTTATTGGTAGGTTGTGTTATTATGACTGTGTTGGTATTATNGTATGTGTCCCCACAACTGAATAAATAAATATTTCGCAATGAACAACATCATACCAGTGCATTGCAAACTAATTAATATTTATGTAAATTAAAACTATGTGCTTCTTGCATTCAAAGAAAAATCTTTGATCAGTACGATTAAAAAAATTATGGAGTTGATATAACATTACATAAAAATCGAAGTATTTTTACTTATGAAACATGGCTTGCAAATCTTACGGGTATTAAAATCACGAAAAATAGTTTTTATGTGCAAGCAAAATTTATTTTGGACTGTTTTTGGTACTCCCCAAGACGTGATGCCCTAAGGCATCCGGCATCCGGCACTGACTAGGCTACAAAACCATCAAGAATGAAACAGAACGTTAGGCATAATATCAACAATTACCTATTCATGTCGATCATGCTCAGAAGGATGTTATACTCACCTAATTCAAACAATGCAGTTAATGGTTCATTTAATATAATCATACACGAAACAATGGCTTTGTTAGTCCTGCATCGTGATAACACACGAACGGTTTTTCTCTCTCACGCACTGGCTAATAGACTGAATAACAATGTCATTATCAATTTTCTCAGCACTTCTGCATAGATTCCACTTCCGTTGTCTTTGAATGATTAGATAACTTTGAATTGTTTTGGTAGAGTCAAATATAATTGACCTACTTCCTCTGATTAATATTTTATAAGTAAGGTATTTTATTTTTTGTAAATTCCCCCACCACTATCCACTACGCCGACTAAATTCAATAGCATTTATGCTGGTATCTGGAATGGGTTCACCACAAATAGCCCAACGCGATTGAACTCGCAACCCTTGAATCGGTAGTTACCTACACCATTTGGCTAATGTCTCCTTTCGTTATCTACTTATTTACGACAACTTATCCATTACAAACATTTTCTTTATTCTTACAGAAAAGGTCATCCCTATATTTACCCGGTGGTGGACTGGACTTATCCAGGCACGACGGTCGGCGTGGGAGCTCTTACAGGCCTGCTGCTTATCGTGCTCTACCTACTGGTGGTGGCCATCGCGAAGGGCCGTGACGTCATCTCCAGGAAATACGTCAAGCCTCCTCCCATTGCAGAAGAAGCCGGGGTTCCTTTGAGGCAGCAAACAGTTGTGTAATGACTGTGGAAAGAAAGAAAGAAAAAAAATGTATTAGGCTGAGTTAAACCAGCTATCTTTAAAGTTAACCAGTGTTTTTTGTATGGAGTTTGACAGATGTCTGACGTTTGTCAACGTTATAGTAAGATGGTACAACCTAGCCTTAGTTTAGTAGTGCACCATAGTTTTAAGTAATATTCAAACTTTTAAACAGTTATTTTATATGCCTCCAAGGTACCAAACGTTTTTGCTTTTAATGATATACCTAGACGCGTTAAGTGAAGGTAAACAATGAAGAACATAATGGCTAGATTGTCATGTTATTGAATTTTTTGTATCAAACGCAGTCAAACGCTTAGGTTAGAGTGGATTGTGTGTACATAATAGCTGAGAGTGTAGTAGGGCTTATTTATTGATGGGACTACGCAATCGCGTTCCATGACATCAGATAGTTTGTTAAATATTGATTTATTAATGTAAGAATATTGCTTAAAAGTAGTGCAAAGTATTGTGATGTGCTTTAATTAGTTTTGTTCCGTTTCGTAACTATTTATTAAAGTCGTCGGTCTAAGCGACGACAATGTTTTATTTGTGCTGTAATTTATTTAATTGTTTTTTTTTAGAAAACAACTGATATTATATTTTTCAAGATATACTATTGTAATTTTCATTTTAAGTGTACTTACCTAAACCTTTTAAATTTCGCTCTCATTGATAAATAATTACTCTTTTAGCAGAGGCACTCTACATTTAGAAACAGGTAGAATCGATGTCCATGGTTTTTCCGTGCAGTTACTAGCTTTTTGTGATGGCACCAAATTGAAAATGAGTGATCGTGGGCGTGGCTCCTAGTGATTCAATTTCTTATCCTATTAATATTAAACTACGAAAGTTTGTGTAGATGTATGTTTGTTAATCTTTCACGCAGATCACGCAAAAAGTACTGTACGAATACATTATTATCGTTTAAACATCAGACGATCAGATTAACATATGAGTACCTACTTAGGCTATTATTTATATATGTTCTGTTACAAATTTAATTTCACGCGGGCGAAGCAGTGTGTAAAAGCTAGTTACTTTAACAGTTGTCGTGTTTAATATAAATTCAGTATCACATTGCTTATTATGTTATGTCATTTCCCGCCAAGGTTAGCAGGTATTTAGTGAGTAAGTATGAATTTGACCGTCTCCGTCTTATCAATCTCAATGACTCTATATTTTTTTATGTATTTAAACGTTCCTGTGTATGCAGTGTGACAGCTAGAAGAACCTAGCATAGAGTAGGTACTTACTTTGACAACAGTCATTAGATTTTTATGTCATGTCATGAAGCATTTACTATCTTTAAGTTTTATTAGTTGTACACTATTCTAGTGATAAAAACCCTTTGAATTATTATATTTTTTAAGTAATCATTTGTTGGAATATTGAAAGATGTATCTTACTTCTTATGCGTACGTACTTTTACCTTTTATACCTACTTAATGTGATTTAACGAAACGGCTTTTCCATCCCCTCTATTAGCAAGCGGTTTCTATGCCATTTATTTTAACAAGACGCAGTTCTCTCATTTTATGCTTACTCATCACCATCAACCCGATAATACAAACCCGTTAACATATAAACCAAGTTTGTCAGAAAACATCTTAATTACATAATGAGGTTAGCGGTGTTTGCGCAAGTTCAATGCAAAGTTGTGGTCACGCAAGACGCCAGTCCGCAGGCTGCGCGCGCGCGCCGCCGTCGCTCCCGCGCTCGCCGCCATCGCGCCACTGTCCTTTAACTTCTTTTGTTTTACCACAACTTTAGTCTATTTATAAAACACCGACTACTTCGCGTAAACGCTCCAAACTAACCGCACTACCACTCGCGCTCGGTCAAGTCTTCGCATAAAAACTTCGGTTAAACTTCACCTCATTCTTTCATTCAACAATAGCAATAAACATTATTTACCTGTGATAATGATAGAGACCTATCGATAATACTCTCTGGCGACATCTCGCCATTCCTTCGCGGGTTGCGAAATGGTGTTATCGTGTCGACTTAGATAACTTGATCTCGTCGCACCCTCGAGCTTGGCGATCGATTGTGTGTTTTGTGTAAGAAAAATGGTGAAACTTTTTAGGGATAGTGTGACCCTATCGGATATTTGGGTGTCGTCGAATGGCAAGTTGAGTGACTTTTACGCGTCGTCATGGCAGCGGGGGGATTCGGCGCTGCCGCTGCTGGTGCTGCGGCTGCTGCTGGCGGCGGCGGCTGTGGGCATCCTGGCGTGGTCCGTGGCCGAGGGTGCCAGCCCCTACTGGCTCATCTACCTCACCAACTGGGGACTGCTCATGGTCACCATGATGACGCTCAGCGGACTTCTGGTGTCGGGCATCATATTTGTAAAGAAACCTTCTGGTTAGTCAAAAATACTTGATCACTTATGAAATCTGTAATACCCTATCTACATACCTTACTAAGTACTAATCATTGATTTTGGTCATCCGATTAATCTACTTACATGAAATGGCAAAACCATTTAGTAATAAAATTCTGGATAAAACGGCACTTAAATAACATACTTACCATTGTTATGGTTATCAAAGAATGTTCATAGAATCTATTATCGAAGACATGGGTTAACGGAATCGATGATTGCATTGATAATCTCAAACGCAGCGTTTGTTGCAGCAAATTAATACGTAAAGGTAAATTACGAGTATAACAGTACTTATTATTATTCTGTGGTATAACATAAAAAAAATTATTGATTAACAAGAACCAATCTATTTAATGTTTAAAACATCATTAATAAGTTTTATAGTGTTATCATCAATAATAGTAAAACATGATTTAATGACAAAGATACTTATGTTACGTATTAATTTGGACTCTACGATTAATTCTATTCATTTTATTGAAGACATTTTATTCTATTCTATTCGATACGAATAAAAATATTTATCGAAATCCCTTATCATGATATTTCGCCACGTTTGTTTATTTAGGAAAACTTCTTCGTACCGTAACATTATGAAAATTCTTTGGATTAAAAAAATATCAGTAGCTTGTAAATATACGATGCAAATAGGCTAATGTATTCTCATTTATTTCTTATACAATGCTAAATGTATTAAAATAAATAAATATAAATGAACGCGTCAAAATACCGTTCATACAAGATACTAATTATTAAACACGGAGACTAATACACGCAGGTCAAAGTCAACGGCAAATTGGATAGCTTACCTCCAAGTANTACTTACGTCCAAGTAAAAGAGCACTTTGGAATCTGAATCAATTGACGAGGTTTTTATTACCTAACTGGTCACTCGGACTATGATCTTTAGCGTGAGGCCTGAGGAAAACCACAAAACAGAATTCGTGATATTCCAAAAAATAAGTAACCTTTTCAAAGAAAACAAATATTTTAATAAATAAATGCGAAAGTTACTCTTTACTTATTTCACGTTTTCATAATCTAAACCGCTGAAACGGTAAAATGAATTTTTATAAGTAACCTAGAGATCGAGGGATCTAGGATGTAATGTAAATAGATAAGAGTCGTAAGTAAAATTGTGGGAATTTACAAAAAATAAGTATTCTGAACAGTTGCAATGTTATTTTCAGGTAAAGTAATTTACTATTATTACGACTCTCTTACAATTATCAAAAGTAGAGTAAAATTCCATCAATCCCTGCCATGCATAAAGACTACATTCGCATTTTTTTTGTAAAGGGTTTTATTAATATATCTAAGTACTTAGCTGTGTAGTTCGGATTTTATGGCCCTGCATTTCATTTTAAAGACATAAAATGATATCTAATCGTAATAATAACCCCCAATATACAACCGACAAAAACATCAGACACGTCATATATGTATACATTTTTGTTGCAAAATCAGGAAAAAAACTAAAAATTGTAAATTCCTTCTCTTTACTCAACGTAAAATTTCCCTTGTAAAATCTCTTTTAATCACATGTCTACAATGAAAAAAATTCTGGAAGGACGATACCTATACGATACGATACGTTGAGAAAAAAATGTTGCACATTGAATCCTCCTCGTGTACTTTCAGGGGCACCTTGCTATAACATAGCATTTATTAGTTCGTGATCATAACGTACCTACCTAGGTGGCAACATGAAGTTTTACATTGTTTTTCAAGGTTGTCAATAAATTGTTTTCTAATAAGTTAATAGCTCGATCGTTCTCGATACTATATTTAGCTGATAAGAAATCAAAATTTAAGACATTCTAACCACTTAAGTATCTACCTAAGTATCAAACCTTACACAATCCTTAATTTTAAAAATGCATTATTTTTAATAGTTTTAATGAGTGCACCCTACTTAAGGCAACCGTGTGAGCGGGAGGTAATTCCTTGAAGTTGGTTTGCTAATAATTACTTAGTATGACCACAGAATACATACTAGTATAGTAGTGGTATGACAAAGCTCGTTTTGCAATCTCGCGAACGGCGGATACTGCAGCGTATTATTTTCGCAGAACTTAAATGACGGAGATAAAAATACATTGTCAGAATAAGATTGGCAGGTAGGATATTGTGGGAAATAATGGAAATATGTTATGAAACATTAACGATCACAAAGAGTTCTTAAAAGCATCACCTGAAGAATTACCTATAAACGTAGGTATATTTTCTTTCAATAAGATTAATAAACTTTTAAAATTTTAAGTTTGTGGCATGTACGAGGAACACCTAACTTCTTAACAAATAAGTTTTCATCACTTTTTCTTTTTCAAACTTGAAACTTTTGACCTCCAGTCAAAGTCAATGACCTAAGAAAGTTTTCACAAGGACATCCAGGTGATTTACTTACATTCTTCACAGCTATCAACAAACAGTAGGTACCGTTTGTCAGCTGGTCAGTGTCCGCGTAGGTACCGAGTGTCGAAACCCCGCGTTGGGCGTCACATTCACGTAGCCGTGGTTACCGCATCCGCACTCAACTGACGTTATACCAAATGCAGCCTGCGTAAGTTTGGAAATGCTCGTGTCAAGGCTGATAATGTAATCTTCACTGACGCTTACATCTACCTATACATATAAAATTGCTAGATGCTAACTTTGATTACTTTTTACTTTAGCTTCCAATGTAATCTAAGTTTAGTTAGTGCAGATGTGATGTTTGATAAAACAGAGCTTATCCAGAAGATGCTTAACATAGGAATTGCAGGGCCTAAAAGATGTAGAAAAGCGCTCGAATGGATGATGCTACACTGCTACCTGTCAACATACCCTTTGACCATGATATACCTACTCGTAGGTAGGTACTCCCGTTACATTAACCGGCATCCGGAAGTAATGTCTTGTGGTTATCAGATGGGTTTATATTTTTATATCTATTCAATATACAATAATTCGATTTCGATAGGTCATAAATGGAAAAATATCGTTTTACATATCTTACCAAGATATCATATTTAAGTCATAGTTGATTGCTTACACGTAATAAAAATTTACAATAGTGGTAGGTTACTTGGTAAAAAAAATGTTTTTTACGCTAAATAAAATGTTACTTTGTTTGCTTTTTAGAAACATCGGATTCGGATATACCTTGGTACATAAGCATGTACTGGCTGCTGTACAACTCCGCAGTCAGCCTCGCCATCATGATCACAGCGCTCTACTGGATCCTGCTCTACGACTCAGGTACGGATTAAATAACTACTAATGAGGATAATTATTAATAATATACCTACCTATGTAATAAGTTTTCACATTTATAATGCCAAATGCAGCGTAAATCACTTCAAAATTTAGGACATGTTAAGCAATGTCTCCACAGCTCAGTGGTCAAAGCAGTGGCCCAGCAAGCGAAAGGTCGTCGATTCAAATTTTCAATATATTTTTTAAAATACGAGTATTTTAATCTTCTAAAACATAGACTGTGTAGTCATTTTGATACTAGGTATATTTTTTCCTGCTGACCAATGAGTGTCTTCGTTAGACGTAGGAAACGTCCTCGCTTCTGAAACTTGTCTCCTTATGTAATTTAAAATGCGAACAACCCTAATGTATCACTCACTTGTTTTTTTTAAGAGTTATCTGCTGAAAGCCGGCGAATGTTCTGGCTGGACCTGTCGACGCACGGATTCAACTCGTGCATCGCGTTCCTGGAGGTGGCTCTCTCGCGCACGCCCGTGCGCTTCCTGCACTTCTACCAGCCGCTCGGGATTGGCCTCTGGTACGCGGCCTTCACGGCCATCTACTACGCTGCGGGAGGGACTGACGCGTAAGTCACTTAAAAAAACTCAATTTTTTGACAATATTGTAGGGAATTATGTCAGTGGTGGCTAGTGTTCCCGAGGCCTATAGGCTTTTAGGCTTTTTTTAAGGCTAGCCTATGAATTAGGGGCTACAGCGGGAAAAAAGCCTAAAAAGGTCTGTTAGGCCTTTAGGCTAGGCCTTTTTCATAGCCTTTTTTTTGTCCACCCGCTGACTATAGGCTTTTAGCCATTTTGTAGGCTAGGCGCAGGAGGTTAAGTATATGTTCGACTGTACTTATGTATTTTTTTTCTATGTATGTTCACCAATTACTCCGTCAATTGTGGACCGATTTTCAAATATTTTTTTTTCGATAGGGTACACTTCTGAGGTGGTCCCATTGTCACCAAGTCAGGATCTGATGATGGGATCCTAGAAATATATAATAATAATAATGTATAACAATGAGGTACTTAATTATTTCCAATTTCAAATATTATTCGTTTTTATTTAATTTGAAAATAAATGCAATACAAAAATACTTACTTGTTTAATTCATACTAAGCCATAACCTGAATAATGGCTATAGCCTTATAATAAGCCTACTACTCGAAAAAGACTTTAGTCTGAAATAAAGCCTAAAAGACTATTTAGGCCTATAGGTTTTTTTTTTAAACCTATAGGCTTTTTATAATAAGTAGCCTTTTAAAAGCCTAGTAGTCTATCATGGCCAAAAAAAGAACTAAATAGGCTTAATTTTAGACCTAAAAGCCTATAGGCCCCTGGAACACTAGTGGTGGCAGATAACTATCATTTTAACAGGCGGCCCTAACCTATCGTCTTTTATCTCGTTATTTTTACCATTAAAAATCTTCGAGTATTGTTGTCAGGTAGACTGTATGAATGGATAGCACGCCTACTGACCAAGTGGAACTTTCTGATCAACCATTTGCTTATTTCAGAATGGGTAATCACTACATCTATGAGATACTAGACTGGAAATACGGAAAGCGTGCCGGGGGCATAGTCGGCATATCGATAGCGGGTCTGCTCGCGATCTACGCTCTGCTTTGGGCGCTGGCCCTCTGCCGGGACAAGGCGTCGACGTCGCTCGTGAGGACCACCAGCCAAGCCCTGCAAGCCACGCCCCCTGACGACATCTTACACACGAGAATAGTTTGATAATTAGTTTAGGTGGTTGTTATTTTGTTTGCTACTACGGGAGGGCCAGTAATGAGCACTACAGTTCAATGTTCTTTTTAAATATCTGCAAGGTCTCCGTTACCCTACGATTCTTTTAGTCCTTAATTTTGCCTGTTTTAATAAGCAAACTTGAGTTAGTTGAAATTGCATGCTAAAACGTTTGCCTATTTCAAGGCAAACGTTTTAGTTCTGTAATAAATGTACTTACATGGCTCTTGAAACTATCATCCATAAGGAGCTTACAGACAGGAACGATGTGATAATCTGTACTTAATACAGTGACCAAGGTACAGTGCAGTATTAATTTAAAAGACAATGCCGGAAATTGGCGTCTTTTTTTTTTCGCGCGGCCATCGACCAAACCTTGTTTTTTGATTACAAAATAGTGTAATAAACCAAACTTAGTATGACATGTATACCTCTAAACTCAGTCTGAACCAGCGTTGCCAGTTTTTTTTTTCGCCAAGTCGGGACTTTGGTACTTTTTGAGTGAAAATAGCGGGATTCTTCCGTCTGAAGCGGGACATAGTAAAAAAACGTATAAATAATCAAAGGTTTTCAAATATTTCTCTTTTTATTTGACTTAAAATTACGTTTACGTGACAATAGATAGCAAAAGTAGCCATAGAAAATGTATTATAACAAAAAAATATATTTTAAATCAGATTTACTCTAATTCGTCTTTAGAATAAATGGCGTTTCAAACAATAGTCTGGTGAAGTGAGTGTCTCTCTCCGAAAAGCGGGACCGAGCCTGTCCCGCGCGGGACATTTAAATTTGATTTAAAAATCGGGACGTCCCGCCAAAATCGGGACGTCTGGCAACGCTGGTCTGAACTGAGTTACGAGCATCAGAAGTTTGATGATTTTCATACTAGATTTGCTGTTGGAAATTGCAACAAAATAATGACATTTTATGTGTAAACAAACAATACCATCCATTAAAGGCTCCAGACATCAGTATGCAGCAGAATCAGCGCAATAAAAAAATAGCGCAATATTTTGTTGCAATTTCTTACAAAACTTGCGCGCAAAAAGCAAATCTAGTATGAAAATAATTAAACTTCTAATGCTCGTAACTCAGTTTAGACTGAGTTTAGAGGTATACATGCCATAGTAAGTTTGGTTTAAAACACTATTTTGAAATCAAAAAACAAAGTATGGTCGATGGCCGCGCGAAAAAAAAAAGACACCACCTTCCATACAAAATCTGGCATTGCCATTTCATGCTATGTGACAGCTGATACACCTGCACATTATAAAAACGCCGCTGCCGCGCAGCTGTCGCGCTACTAACGCCCTAATGTGAAAGCGCTCTAAGACCTTTGCTATTAGCTGAAATGCCTTCGCGGATCTATCTTGGAAGTGTGGCGACCTCCTAAATCCCCATTCGACCGGTGTGTTCTACAGGCTGGCGGAACTGCCGCAACGAGCTGGAGGGCGTCCGCGCAGCCGCCGCGGCGTGCGAGCGCGCGCTGGCGGTGGAGCGCGCCGCCGCTGCCGATGCGCGTGCGCAGCGAGACCTCGCCCGGCGCAAGGTAAGGCTTAATATCCTGGGATATTTTCACGCTGCGCTATCCCAGTGTCTGGCAGGTGCAGTCCTGTTGTCCCCCTGGTCCACCCAGGGGTAGTCGCAGTACTACGTTTGCGAGTTCGCGCACTCCAGGCACACAATCAGGCGAAGTTACGAGAAGAAGTGATGACATTTATCAACGAGACGCGAAGTACCGTATTTGTGGTGTCAAGCCCCAGAAGGGGGAGAATTGACTATGAAAAGGGACATGGATCAGAGAAATTTGTAGGAAGTCAAGCAAAGCGCCCGGGGAAAAAAGCCCAGAGCAAGTACCCGCGCGCTCTCCCGAGATTCGGTTCGTACGCCGTGAGGCAGGAAGAACCATGGATGGTGGTGGGTGGTCCCCCCAGGAGATCCAACCGGGGGGGACAACAGGACTGCCCCTGACTTCCTGACTGGGAAGCAGGATGGCGTGTGAGTGACAGCTCGCGCGCAGCGGGACCTCGCCAAGCGCAAGGTAAGGCTTAGACACCCCGTAGACTACAGACTAGTTTGGTCGGCTTCCAATTTGTATGAAGAATCTTCCTCTTCCCTCACTGATGATCGCGACCACATATAGTGTTTCTCCACAGACTTCTGTCATAAGCTGTATGGAGTTGTGGACCGCACGATGCAAACTTCCGCCCACCGTCTTCTTCACCGCATCTGACCATCTCGGCGGTGCCCTATTTCGAGCATGTCTGCCTTCCATTTGTCCCAAGATAATTTGTTTCTCCAGACAATGCCTTGGAGACTGCATATCTAATGAAGAATCAGCCGTTACCAAATCTGTGTAATGTGCGCACTTCCATACATGTTCAATTGTTCATACAGTACAGATTAACAACCCGACCCAACTATCGGCCGACTAAAAGTCTGCGTAGTCTACGGGGTGTCTTGATATCCTTTGACAATTTCGTGCTGCGCCATCCCAAGCTGCCTGAACTGGTACGCGCGGGGGCGGAGGCCCAAAGTGTAAAAGTATTATTTTGACTGTAAAAATCCACCGGCTACTTCATCAAGGCCGTTCATCTGGATGCACCGTCGAATTCGCGTGGATTAAAGCCCACGCTGGATTCGAGGGTAATGAAGAGGCAGACTCGGCGGCAAAAGCTGCATCCACCATGCATAAAGTGCCCGACTTTATAGAAGCACCTATTAGTATAGTCAAATTTAAAAACAAACAAAAAGGAAACGACTCGGCCGAAAATCTTTATATGGACCCCAACACCTGTGTCCATACACGATCTCTTCTGCCTACATATAACAGCTTGCAGGAGTTCACTANGTCCAAGTAAAAGAGCAATTTGGAATCTGAATTAATTGACGAGGTTTTTATTAACTGGTCACTTGGACTATGATCTTTAGCGTGAGGCCTGAGGAAAACCTCAAAACAGAATTCGTGATATTCCAAAAAATAAGTAACCTGTTCAAAGTAAAAAAAAAAAAAAAAAAATGCGAAAGTTACTCTTTATTTCACGTTTTCATATCTAAACCGCTGAAACGGTAAAATGAATTTTTATAACCTAGAGATCGAATGTATTAATAGATAGAGTCGTAAGTAAATTGTAGGAATTTACAAAAAATAAGTATTCTGAACAGTTGCAATGTTATTTTCAGGTAAAGTAATTTACTATTATTCATTACGACTCTATTACAATCATCAAAAGTAGAGTAGGTAAAATTCCATTAATCCCTGCCATGCATAAAGACTAGATTCGCATTTCTTTAGTAGAGGGTTTTATTCATATACCTACTTAGATGTGTAGTTCGGATTTTATGGCCCTTTATTTCATTTTATAGACATATTTTAAAATGATATCTAATCGTAATAATAACCCCCAATATACAACCGACAAAAAAATCAGACATGTCAGATACACATTTTGGTTGCAAAATTGTGTCTATTACAATAACATAATTGCTAAAGCATTTAACTTGATGTGCCCTCGTCCTACATTAATAAGTTCCTTGAGTTTGACACCATACATTAAATTAGACTTACTGAATACTTGATCAAATAATGTAATTTTACAGACTGTGATGTTAAGTTAAATCACAATAATAAGAAATTTCAGGAAAAAAACTGAAAATTGTTAAATTCTTTCCCTTTACTCAACGTTAAATTTCCTTTGTAAAATCTCTTTTAATCACATGTCTACATTAAAAAAATCTGGAAGGACGATACCTAGAAAAAAATGTTGCACATTGAATCCTCTTCGTGTATTTTCAGGGGCACCTTGCTATAACATACCATTTACCTATTAGTTCGTGATCATAACGTACCTGGGTATTTCTCATCGCCACGGTTCTCATCGTCACCTTCGTGGCGAATTTTATTTCTAACTTATTTAAACTTTTTGTAAACAAAAATTGTAGCGCTTGATATGAAGATTGTATTCCCAGAAAATCAGTCAAATAGTGAGTCTCGTTTGGAAGCTTTAACGTTTTGAATTTTTTGATGCCACGAAAGTGATTCTGTACTTCACAGCAATAATTTTTTCAAACTTTCCTATTGTAAATGACTCTTAAGTGTTTATAAAACATATATTTTGTCTTATTTTCATAGATAAATAGCAATAACATAATATAAATAGGTAGGTACCTACTTAAATACAAAATAAAATTTTACCGATTACGTCACCTACTAAGTTACAAGATTCTACGCAATTGGTTTTAAGGGTGACACTGGTGGCATTCTGAAATGCTAAAGAAGCAAAAAACGGATTATCAGTACCTCAATAAAAAAGAACTCTAACTGATTAAAGTCCCTCAACAAAAATATAATTTTTATTTAGGCCAGAGGGCCTCGTATTTTTGTTGTACAACTTTTAACTCAAACTTCAGATTAAATTTATCTTACAAACAGATCACACACAGTCACATATACAGACATACATACAGTCATAAAGACTGACAAAAAAATACGAGGCCCTTATTCATTTATTGATGTACTGATCTCTAATTACCACGTATAATTTATTAGTTATTAAAATATTGTAAAAACATAAACACCGGTCACTATATTTTAAAATAAAACCGACTCCAAAAAACCTACACTGAAAAGTAGAAAAATAATTACTAATTACCTACTTATTTATTAGGACGAATTAATATTTATGTAGGTATACCATGAGTGATACTTCTGGAGTCGGTGCCAAGATTATGAAACATGTAAAGTTTGCCTGCACCGACTCCAAAAGTTTCAATCATNGATTTTTTTTTAAAGTATCATTTTTTATTATTTGTTGGCATTTTTTGTGTATTTTATGTATTTTTTTAGTATCACCTGTTATTTAGCATTATTACTGTTTTTATTTTATCAGGATATACCGCTTAGTTTAAAAGTTATTACGTTTTCTTTACAATAAGTAATTGGAAGAAAAAAAATCTGTAAAAAATTTAAAAAAAATCTCAAAAATTTTTTGACCTCTTTTTTGTCGATAAAAATAGGTCTAGTTTCATCTATTTTCATATGTACACTTTAACGTGACTCACACTGTATTAAAAAGTGATAGGGACAGAAGACCTTTCTCTGTCAGCGCTAGTAGGATTGTTTTTCCTACTGCAAAATTGCGTTAAAACTTAGGCCAAGTAGAGAAAACAATTTGGGAGGGACGGTCGTCGTTGAAGGCTTTGTCAAGATTCCCATAGTTTTCCCCACTAAAGCGAGTGACGAAGCACCTGGGTTATTTTAGTGGATATGCCTCAGCCTACCGATGAGGGGGGGGGGGGGGTGTCACACATTGACCTTGTCCCCGGACTTCAATACATAATTTCCCCGACAAAAAAAGAGAAGACAAAGATTTTTACACTTAACTCGATACAAATAAAAGGGCTCATGAAAGTCAGCAAATGTCAGAAGCGCACGCGCACCGGGCACGAGCTTATTGTCGATGGTTCAATTCCGCGACTGACCGGCAGCTGGCAGGATCTTTGTTACAACTACGAACATTACGCCCCGGCTTCAAGAAAACAACTAAATTGGTTTACGCATGGCACAAAACGTATTAACTGGTACTACGTCTGGCAATGGGTTCAATTTGATGATCAGAACTTTATCTTAAGATAAAGACATGCGTGTGCCTTTTTCGGAAGAGCTTCTATCATTAGTTAACTAACAAAAGTTGACCGAACAAATTCGGTTATAAAATACAAAAGAAAGTTACGCTTATGACTAGCAAGAGATCATTTTAATACTATCTAATAAATAAATAATTTAATCTCAAAGGCCGTTTCTAATAAATAAATATCGCCCTCACTTCGGCGGGGACATCTCTGACTAGAAGTCAAGTTTACATTAACTTTAGGCCTTATTCAACATTTCTATTAAAATATTTAATTGAAAAATAATATTATATAGCCTGACCAGGANTTTGTAATACGACAAAATCACGAAATTACTTCCTCCATGCTCAATGTCGAACCATACAATCTTACAGATTTAATTAAAAAAGAAGAGACCATCAAAAGCTTTCAAAAATTCATCACCTATATTGTAAATCACCTAAAAGAATTCAACAAATAGAAATGTAATCCAATTTATATCCAAAAAATAGCACACCGTCTTGCAACTGGAGTAATCCAATAGCACCTTTTGCAAGGCATAACAAATGATATTTATAAAAAAAAAAAAAGTTTTAAGAGTCGATTTAGACAGGATGTAACTGACGGACGTGGCCTTGAAAATTTCAACACACCGCAGTCGTTCCGTCTTCTTAAATTTATAGGCTGCGATTCCACCTGTATGAACGCGACTACGCGGAGAGAATCGCGAATCTGTGAGTGCGAGTTTTACCGAAGAATTGTTGTGGTGTCGACACATCGCCCCATACACAAGCTTACTCGTATGTTTAGTCGCGTCTCGTCGCCGCCAAATCTAGGAAAAATCACTGCATAGTTTATAATATAATCGCGCATCACTTAGCTAAGCTACGCTACGCAGCTCAGCGTTGGTGGATGCGTATCCTTATTATGACTCGTGCCATTCCGAGAATTCGCCGTATGTTTTCCGAATCTCCGAATAACATGCGATTATGTGTAACAGGTAACTTACGGCCATTAAACTTAATTATACCAGCTAGACGATGTTTTATAATGTATTCTCGAGATCCGGTCGGGTGTTTTACACGTGCCGAGTTCAATGGAATCTGTTAAGAAATAACCCAACTACTCGTACTTACCACTGATAAATCCCAAAAAAATGTAAGGCAATTTGGCTAACCCTCTTTGTACGAGGCGTAGAGGTGAGAAGGACGCAAAAGGTCCAACAATTTGGTAGTTGCCTACCTTGGATGTCAACAATTGTAAAAATAAAAGGAAATGGAAAGAAAAGCCCCGAAAAATAATGCATTAAGTACTTATCTTATATCATATTGGCAAGAAAGAACTAATTTAGATATTTTACTCGTAGTATAGTTACCTAAGTACCCAGTTTTGCCTTAAGAGGGCATTAATAAAGCAATAAGTAGGGAAAAAGACATTTAAAAATGGAAAAATGTATAAATACTTATATAAATAACACGGGGACCTTTTGTTTGGGAATCCCTTTTGCAGAGGTCATTATGATTGTTTTCTCATATCGGGATGGGTAGCTAGGTAGACCGTACCTAGGTAGTATCTAAATTGTAGTCGTCATATCTCCTTACAATGATTCATAGCGGATTGTTTACTGTGATGTGAGGCAGGTTAGGTTTTAATATCGCATAATTATCTACCGTGAGTAGATATATCTACCTACTGACTTGGACTTGGAAAACACAGAAGAAAATATGCTGTATCAAAGAATTATTCAATCCATGGTTTTCTTGGAATCTAAAAACAACAACGATATAGTTACTTATAAATATTAAACCAGTACTACGAATAAACGAACATTGCAAAGTGGAAATATTAATGAGAAGAATTTTCTTTTGTGCTTTGTGGAGGCACCTCTAGTAAAATAGATTGGACAGCTATGTCCTTCTCAAGAGAGCAAGAAGGCGTTGAATGCAGACCGTTCTCGTTCCAGCCGAAAGACGTCCACTGCTGGACAAAGGCCTCCCCCAAGGATTTCCACGAAGACCGATCCTGCGCCGCTCGCATCCAGGCGCCTCCCGCGACCTTCACCAGATCGTCGGTCCACCTAGTGGGAGGCCTGCCCACGCTACGTCTTCCGGCTCGTGGTCGCCACTCAAGAACTTTCCTGCCCCAGCGGCCATCAGCTCTACGAGCTATGTGCCCCGCCCACTGCCACTTTATTTTAGCGATTCTGCGGGCTATGTCAGTCACTCTGGTTCTCCTACGAATCTCCTCATTTCTGATTCGATCACGCAGGGAAACTCCGAGCATAGCACGCTCCATCGCCCTTTGGGTGACCTTGAGCCTTCTTATGAGGCCCATAGTAAGCGACGGCCTGGTGATGGAATGGCATTAATTTCATGAGAGCTTATACCTACTTATTTAGCACCTGTGGCAGAAATGATAATGATGCAATTAGAGAGGGTCGTTCTCGTACATTGGAGACTGAATGGCTTAATTTGTAACAATATTTCTGTTGAATGTAAAGGGTACTACTACTACCTAACATTGATGAAATAAAACGCAGCCATACAGCGTATTACACTTGAAAATTTCGACAGGTTCATCCAGTGTCTAAGTAGCTCAGTTGGAAGAGCAGTCGCCCGGCAGGCGAAAGGTCGTGGGTTCGAGTCTAGTTTTTAGCAGTTCGATTTTTTCAAGTTGTTTATTTAAAATTAAGTTTGAGAAGCGACTCTATTCGCTGAGACATTTTAAAAATGAATGAGGGCTATCGTTTTTTTACCTAACAGTTGGCACCCCTGGCGATTGACAGGACCTTACTCTACAGTGGCGCCATCTTGATGAGTGCAAATGCGATAGTCCTCCTACCACTTTCGCGCTCACCAGCTGGCGCCACTGTCTTCGCTACTAGCAAGTGACAGGACCTTACTCTACAGTGGCGCCAACTGGTGAGCGCTAAAACGATAGCCCTCATTGCCTAAAGATGGAATGGTGTTTCAGCTGTCGATCGTGGAGAAGGAGCTGGCGCAGCACGAGGCTTTGTTATCGGCGGCGGAGGCGGAGGAGGCGGCGCTTCGGCGCGGCGCGGAGGAGCGACGCCGGGAGCTAGAGCGCGCCGCCGCCCAGCTGAGGCTGGAGCGCGAGTAAGTCCGCCATGTGTAGTGCGGACTTCGAACCACACCCAGGCGCGGATCCACCATTGTGGCCACAACCCTAATTCACTTGTTTTAATTATGATCTACTAGCTGACCCGGCGAACTTTGTTCCGCCTTAATGGCAATAAATAACGGGATAAAAAGTATCCTATGTCCTTCTCCTGGCTCTAAACTACCTCCCTGACAATTTTCAGCTAAATCGGTTCAGCCGTTCTTGAGTTATAAGTGGTGTAACTAACACGACTTTCTTTTATATATATATATAGATTGATAAGATCCATAGGCTGATGATAAAAACGGCTGACTGATGAGCCTTTAAAAAATCGAGCGTGATTTGGAACACAGCCGTTCCACTAAAACGCCGCCGCCACCGACCACTTGGCTCTCACTTTGCTAATTTTTGGTGGCTGTGCCCACAACCTTTTTAGAGGGCTGGATCCGCGCCTGACCACCCCGGAAAATGGCTCATTGAAACCATCAATAGTTTCAAGGAACAACTTCTCTAAAAGATCACGTCATTTCATCTTCACTAGCCCAGAAAACTGTATTTTTCAATTGAGTTCGAGAAAACGATATCATAGCTTGTCTTTGCCATACAAAATATACGATAGATTCGAGTTTTGACAGCTCAATAAAAGTGAGTGTAGGGTCTCACTGCTGCGGGATTGGTGGATTTTGATATATCTGTCAATGTCATGTCAAAAATAACCAATCATGCAGCATTTGGAACTCGCGTCTACGTATTGCCATCTGGCGGATTTTTCATACGTAAAAAGTGTAAAAAACCCTCATTGAGTTCGAGAAAATTACGTCGATAACTTGTCTTTGCTGTACAAAATCTAAGGGAGAACCGCATTTTGATGACTCTTTTGACAGCTCATAATAAATAATCAATTGAATATGATGGAGACCTACCCTATTAAAGATATTCACCCCTTTCCGCGCAGGGCTCGCGCGCAATGTTCGGCCGAATGCGCGGCGCTGAGCGCGCGCGTGGCGGCGGCGGCGCAGGAGACGAGCGAGCTGCGCGCGACCGTGGAGCTCACGCGCGCAGAGCTGCAGCGCGTGGCGCGCGCGCTTCAGCACACGCAGGCCCAGCTGGACATGTGGCCGCGCCCGCTCACAAAGTTAGTAAATATAGTAAAAATGCACTGTTAGTTGACAGAACTAAAACTTTCCCCCGGGACAAACTTGACCTTCATTGGTTGGGTTTTGTGGCGGTCAAGCTGTAGATCCTGGCTACACAGGAGTTGCAGTGGTGGGAACGAGAGGTGGGAATAGAACTAAAGCCTGGTCCGTGAGCACGTAGAATCCCGTCCAATGACCCCAAGCTGCCCATCCTCGTCGCTCGCACGTAATTATGTTGCTGTCGCGCTCGCACACTCACTGCGGGCGCGCGTCGCACAGTCGCGACAGCAATATAATTACGCGCGAGCGATAAGGATGGGTAGCTTGGGGTCATTGGGCGGGATTCTACGTGCTCACGGACCAGGCTTTACTATAGTTAACTAACTATAGTAAAGCCGCTCTGTCAACTGACAGTGCATCTTGGCTTTAGAAGCTAGCCCTATAGCTGTAGGTGATGACCCAGCTGGATATGTGGCTGCGCCCACTCACAAAGTTAGTAACTACTATAGTTAACTATAGTAAAGCCGCTCTGTCAACTGACAGTGCATCTTGGCTTTAGAAGCTAGCCCCATAGATGGAGACGAGCGAGCTGCGAGCCACGGTGGAGCTTCCAGTAGCTTCGTAGGCCCAGCTCGACCTGTGGCCGCGCCCGCTCACCAAGTCAGTATAATAGCGAACCATTGCGACAGTTGCTAGCCTCAGACGCTGGCCCCATAGATGGAGGCGAGCGAGCTACGGTTCACGGTGGAGCTCACGCGCAACAAGCTGCAGCGCGCGCTTAGCACACGCAGGCCCAGCTGGATATGTGGCCGCGCCCGCTCACCAAGTCAGTATAATAGCGAACATTTGAGACAGGCAGCTGCTAGCCTCAGAAGCTGGCCCCATAGATGCAGGCGAGCGAGCTGCGTGTCACAGTGGAGCTCACGCGCAACAAGCTGCAGCGCGCGCTTAGCACACGCAGGCCCAGCTGGATATGTGGCCGCGCCCGCTCACCAAGTCAGTATAATAGCGAACATTTGAGACAGGCAGCTGCTAGCCTCAGAAGCTGGCCCCATAGATGCAGGCGAGCGAGCTGCGTGTCACAGTGGAGCTCACGCGCAACAAGCTGCAGCGCGCGCTTAGCACCGCAGGCCCAGCTCGACCTGTGGCCGCGCCCGCTCACCAAGTCAGTATAATAGCGAACCATTGCGACAGTTGGTCGCTTCAGAAGCTAGTCCTATAGCAGTAAGAGAGCGAGCTGCGCGCGACGGTGGAGCTTCCAGCACACGTAGGCCCAGCTCAACCTGTGGCCGCGCCCGCTCACCAAGTCAGTATAGTAGCGAACATTTGTGACAGAAGCTAGCCCCATAGATGCAGGCGAGCGACCTGTGGCCGCGCCCGCTCACCAAGACAGTATAATAGCGAACTATGCGACGGTTAATAGCTTCAGAAGCTAGCCCCATAGCCACAGGCGAGCGAGCTGCGGTTCACGATGCACGCACGCAGGCCCAGCTCGACATGAGTGGCCGCGCGCGCTCACCAAGTCAGTAGAACTATACTAAAGCGGCTCTGTCAGTAGCTTCAGAAGCTAGTTTCATAAGCACAGGAGACGAGCAAGCTGCGTGAACCGTGGAGCTCACGAGTCCAAGTAAGCATAGTAGAGAACGTTTTGCGACAGCTGCTAGGCTTCAGAAGCTAATCTCATAACTTACACGCGCATAAAATTGGGATCTATACTAATAAAACGATAGCAGAAAGCCAGGAAAAAGCTAGAAATAATCTTTGCCTCAGGTGCACCTGCTCACTAACGTCTAACGCGATAGTTAGTATGCGACGTGACTGCAACGGTCCACTTGAGATATTCGCTTTTATGACGTCCCGTTTATTTGATTAGTCGCAAAATCGCAGTCGTCACGTTGGCTGTGTCGTATCAACTTTGTCGTAACGTAGAAAGCGCGTAATTGTAACAACACACGCCAAAGACATATAAGAATATTAGCACACACCTAAAATACACAAGAATGCTTTAAAAAAGTGTAACGACTCACCAAATGTCCCTGGCTCCCCTGCAGGATGCTGTGCGCGGCTCGATCGTGGCTGCGGCACCCGCTGTCGCTGCCTGAAGCGCTGCTGTGGGCTCTAGTACCGGCGCGTCACGGCTGCTGAGTGCTGACTACACACCACGTCACATTCTGCACAACTGTCCTGCCAATAGTTTTGTTTTGCTTAACTTGCAACTCGCGTCACATCTGCACAACAGTCTTGGCAATAGTTTTTTTGTTTTTTCGTAAGTTGGCTTGCGTGAGCCTGCCAGTGTTAAAATCACTTGCAAAACGCCGAAAATTTGTCTTCCACAGATCTTTATCCCCACTAAGTTCGCGGTAACAGATTATCGGCCGAAACTTTACCGATCACATATTGCAAAATCCATACACGCCGAATAACTGAAATACTTTGACAGTTACTTGTATTTAAATGACAACTACTACCCGCGATAATTATTGTTAGTGATTTGCGTTTCGTTTCACGTAATTCAATGTTTTCACCTTTTATTATGAAAGTTGTGCTGTGCAGATGAATTTTTGGAGTTGCAAAAATTGATCATTTGACACTAGTGGGTCATCTTTATTATTTATCTCACTCAACATTATTTTTTGTCGTAATAGAAAGAAAGTAATGTTTGGGGAGTTTCTATTAGTACTTTTTGACGAGTTTGGTAAGTATTTTAATTACATTTTTACTTAGTTATTGTAGTTTTATAGATAAACATTACTTTTGTAAGGTAAGTCGTTTTAATTGTAAGTTGTTATTCTAATGTTATGTACACTTGTAATGAGAAAAATATATTTAATGTTATAAAATCTAATTCTTTTAATTTCCAAGACACAACCCATTTGTAAAAAAAAAAGTAGGTACCTAACTATTTACATTTTAAACTCTTCCCACAAAAATATTTTGTCAAAATTCAGCTAACGGAAATTATGTTAAAAAGAAACGCCAAAATTGTATCGTATAATTTATTTCAGTCTTACATTTCTAATCAACGATTCAGCTACAAAATATAATCTACGTTTGGAATGTTCACTATAAAATGTAAAAAGGAGAGAGTGGTGAACACTGAGTGAAGTGCAGAGCCGACGCGGCGCTACACTATGAAACTATGAACTCGTACAACAATACAAGAAACCTCTTTATCACGATATACGACTAGTATGAATATTGCTCGATAAAAAATATGTTCACATCCATTCATAAGGTAACGATGTAACACATTACAGACAGTAATACCAAAAGAATAATACTAATAAAATATTAATTAACATATAGGCAGTATGCAAACATCAATAAAAAAGTGTTTAATTTCTATAGAGATAAAATAAATAAATTAAAATAAAAAATATTTATGCAAAAAAAAATAGTTAAGACCAATTCTATCTTAATTTCCAGTGGTAAAAAAATTTAAGCTATAAAATTGTTGATTATACTAGTTACAATTAATGGGCGTGTTGTTATTATGTTACGTAACGATGGCCTCACCATATTTCTTCGAACATATCGCGCCACCTTAGGTTTCCCCACGCTATCAGAAAACATAAAAACCATTGAAAATTGTAACCAATTTTTGAAAAAACCCGATTCGAGGTCTTCAAGCAGTGCTGCTGAGAGGACCTCTATCGATTCTGTCAAACTTAGGCGCGTGTCAAAAATACCTAAATGTTGACTAAACTCAATTCGTATCATTGAACTTGGATGATGATTCTTAAAAATCAAGGTTGAATTCGGTGAAGAACCGAATATTTTGAGGAAATATTAGTCAACTATATTATTTATATACCGTTGTCTAATCTTACGAGGATGGCACGTGCCTTTTCCTCCCAAAACTACAAACGTCGTATTAATTTTTCATCAGATACATTAGTTGGTCATCAAATAGTCCGATTGTTACATAATTATGGCGCGAACTGGTTTTGGAGGGAAATCGCAGGAATCCCCGAGTAGGCTACATCACTACTACATCAAGAATGCATATTTATTAATTAACATAATAATACGGATAGTACGGCTTTGTGAAACACGAGATGCTTTATTTGGTCAAAAAAGGGCGTAATCGCTAAAGAGAATGAAATAAATAGATACCTACTACTAAAATCCAACAGTCTCCAGCCCTAAAATAAATCCTTTGACATTAGGCCAACATGGGTCAGGCGACCATTGACAAGGTAGTGACAAATAGAGCAAGATCAAGTTGTAGGTATAATATGATAATAATGTTCTTTACACATTCAATATTTGTCATTGTATTACATAAATAAATAAATTAATTCACACATTATGTCATTATTATGATTGAAATGGTTTAACATATAATTTATAACGTAGCATTACCTCTATTTAGGTACATACACAAACATAGAAACATCTGAACAATAATGTAGCTTTCCTTTTATCTAATACATAAACTATGCTTACACATATCTCACAAGAAAATATTTATAGGCTATCGTAAGTTTTTATACATAAGTATAAATAAAATGTCATTTAAAAATAATTAATCTAAAACTAAATACATAAATAAATACCTTTTTGCAATATGTCAACTTTAATTACTAATATAAAATATTCTAAAATAAATAATACTAACTCAAAAGTATTTTAGGAATCTCTAATCTTGTTAGCGCTCTCACAACACACAAACACATGCATACATTTTATAGATGTCACACATCTAATACATTATTCAGTTCCGACACTTGCTGACAGCGATTTATAACAGTACATAAATACAGAGAATATGCAAAAAATATTCATATTCAAGAATCATAAATTTTGATTTTAATCTTGTCCCTCATTTCCATACTGAAAGGAAGGCAAAATCCTCGAATCAGTGGCTATACAGTGTGAGTCACGTTAAAGTGTACATATGAAAATAGATGAAACTAGACCTATTTTTATCGACAAAAAAGAGGTCAAAAAATTTTTGAGATTTTTTTTTAATTTTTTATAGAATTTTTTTTCTTCCAATTACTTATTGTAAAGAAAACGTAATAACTTTTAAACTAAGCAGTATATCCTGATAAAATAAAAACAGTAATAATGCTAAATAACAGGCGATACTAAAAAAATACATAAAATACACAAAAAATGCCAAAAAATAATAAAAAATTATACATTTTGAAATAAATCTGCGTTAAAATTCGTGTTTTTTTGGTTATTTGATAAATTTCTCCAAAAAATGCCCCTATAACAGGTGGTTTTTATTACTTTGTATTATTCTCTATCGTATTATCTTTGTAAAACCAAAAATCGCATGTCTCTATCCCTATCACAACATTTGCTATGATCGTTTGAACAAAGGCCTGCCACAACATTTAACCGAATAGAACGCTGTGATTGGTTGCTGGTGTTCGGTTTAACGGCAATCTTGTATTATTACTCAAAATTTTAGGTACCTAAAATCGTGTGACCAACGTATTTCGCTTTCTCAATTCAAAATAATTATAAGAAGATATTTTTTTGACTATTGTGTGGAAAGTATATTTAATTACGATGATTTTAGTATATGCTACACACAAATTGAATGAAAATTGTGAATGCAGTAACCAAATGTTTCATTGCAACCGAAGGTGTGACACGATGAGAACGCGAAAAATGACCCCGTTTTTTATCGTTTCATGTGATTTTTTCGTATTATTTTTGCTTCTATTACGATAAAATTTATTTTTTATGTAGCTAAATAGATATTTTATCATCTGATTTCAAAGTTATTGTTCTAACTTATACCGTTTATGAACTATTATTGTGTGACCATCAAATTTGAGTGTAAATGAGAAGTACCCACCTAGGTGACAACATGAAGTTTTACATTGTTTTTCAAGGTTGTCAATAAATTGTTATCTAATAAGTTAATAGCTCGATCATTCTTACTTTAAATATTAAAAATTATTATGTGCATTGCACGATACTATTAGCTGATAAGAAATCAAAATTTAAGACATTCTAACCACTTACTAAGTATCAAACCTTACACATTCCTTAATTTTAGAAATGCATTATTTTTCAATAGTTTTAATGAGTGCACCCTGCTTAAGGCAACCGTGTGAGCGGGAGGTAATTCCTTGAAGTTGGTTTGCTAATAATTACTTAACAATCTACCACAGAATAAACTACACTCGCGAGCAAAAGTATGGAATCACTTACATGAAGTTGTTTCCACGCGATCTTGTGTACTAACGAATTTGTTAGTAACAAAAAAAGTAGCACTATTTTAAAGATTAAACTTTTAACTTTAAATTGATACCAAATTCATTTAAATCACACCAGTATTTAAAAAGATATCCCGGCTGATGTGAAGAAGTAAGAAAAAAGACATGTACCAACTGTTTGATACGTCGCGAGTTGCGGCCTATTTACCCCCTATAAAAGCACGTGTTTTCGGATTTTTGCGTTCACACGTTGATCCATACACATCTCGGCTTCTTTTGACACTTTACCTGGGATTCTACACCTACAGAAGCAGCACAAATCGTTGCACTGTTGCAAGAAGGGCTCAGCCAGCGGGCTGTCGCACGTCAGCTCCACATAAGCCAGTCCTGGGTTTCGAAAGTTTTAAGACGCTTTGTTGAAACAAACCACAGCTAATTTTCATAGTGGACTGTACTATACGATAAACATGTCAGTCAATTTGACAACCTTTGTCGGAAACATTATTCAATGAAAATATTGTCCGAACCCTTAGTATTTCTCTTCGACAAATACTTTAACACATTGTGAACCACTTTTCTTTCACGACTATAAAAATATTTTAGCAATTTAATTCATAAAACCAATTGCGCACATTTAAAATAAAGTTTGTTTACACTTTGACAGCAATAGACTGACATGCAAGGTGACATGTCAATGAAGTTTTCAGTTACTGTTGCCATTAAAAGAAATTAGTACCATTAGTTTTCCGCAACATGGCGAGGGTTTTTATGTTCCTGGTCAGGCTATACTAGTAATACACAGTGATCCCGTTTTCCGTTTGAACATTCACTACACAAGTAACGAGATGTTACCACGCACGCACATAACATACAATCTCACACCACATGTCAACATAAAAACTAATAATGTCCAATATGTAATAGAATATAAATGCAAAACGAGCATAATTATTGTATAACGGTCGTAGAGTATTCTTTAGGCAATTTCTTCATTGGTCAACACTGCCTGGAGTTTTAAAATATTAGACCTTGTGCGAATTTTAAAGAAGTTTTGAGTTTAAGCGATAATTAACCAAATTCACATTGTTCTTATGCCAAATAGAGTTTGGAGAATGACGTCCGCTTTTTTCTTTATTTTTATAAATAGGGAATATGCATGACTATATTTTTTAAGTACGTAATATATTCAATAATCTTGGTTAGTGCTTGAATATTAAAGCTTCAAAGTACAAAGATGAAATTCAGAAGTCTGGACAGAAATGCGACGAAAGACTTCGTATCCGTCATAAAAAAGCTATTAGAAGGACGGAAATATTTTACTAATAATTTGGGTTACGTACCATTTTCTTACATTTATATTCTATTTAACCCGTTGTCAATTTTATTTAAGGGCATCATCATCATGCATATTCCCTATTAGTTCTTAGGCGGGTTTTAGAATCGCGCTGACCGCTCGCTGATCGTCGGCGCTGACAGATCAATATGTATGTAATTGAAGGGAACGTTCCTGAGTGACGCTGATCGCTCGGCGCCGACGCCCCATACATTTCGGCTGTCAGCGCTGACGTTCAGCGTGCGTCAGCGTGACTCTAAAACCAGCCTTAGAGTCGTGGTAAAACATTGTATGTGTATACAAGTTAGATCATCCCGAACCCCTCGCCGCCCTCGTTGATCGCCCACAACAGCGCCTTGAAGAAGAAAAAACGTTTTACAAGCATTCGAGCAGATAATTTTACGTTTTACAAGCATTCGAGCAGATAATTTTCGCCTTGTGCAGTGTTTTACCGATGAGAAGCGATTTTATATCAAATATTCTCTCGTATGAGAAACGTAACGCAATGTCAAGTTGTTAAGATTGACACGCATGCCAAGTTCCGATATTTTGTCGGTAAGCGAATGTGTGAGTGCAACGAGTAAGTATAACGACGGCTGTATATTTTCTTGGGCAATCGTTATTAAAATTACTTAGCGATTAGAGTCGCTTCAAAGTCGTGGGTGCAATTCCCGCCTTAGGCAGTTCGATTTTTTCAAGTCGTTTATTGAGAATTTTATTGGCCAGTTTTCAGACCGTAAAACGTCTATCACTCAGCGAGTATCTAAGTGCCTAAGACCCGGTTTCCACCAAGACTCAGTTCTCTGTTGCTCTATTCCGCTAGGTATACCACAGAATAATAACAAGTACTACGTACAGAAGTTTTACTTCGCAAAGGTATTTAAAAACATTTATGCTCAATGTCATTAACAATATGGTGTAATTTAGCCTGTCTCAAGAATCAAGCACCATTTTGTTGACAAACGTCAGTGATCGGCACTGCGCCGAAGCTATAGGGCTGACTTCGGTAAAATGATATGACGTGAGGTGCCAAACTGCGGAAAATGGCGGAGGAAATACATGATTTAGCATGAATTATCATGAATAATATTAACCACTTATTTATCTCTCAGTGTCTTGAGGCAACTTAAAAAAGTACATTCTGTGTTTTTATTATTATTTAGGCAGTTAAATACTGTACAGTATTTAGTACATCATTTTCTTTATTTTCTTCCATCATACACAAGAATACGCGTGCGTGAGTCAATGTTCGCTCGTATGTGAGGCCTTGTCGAATAGTATCCTGTAGGTGGGCCATCGTGCGTGTTTTGTTTTCGATGTAAACTCGCGGAGATGAACAGGCCTGGGTATACCTACTAACTTTATGGCTCCACCTTGGTGGGAACCGGGCCTAAAGCCCAGCACAATGGCAGAAGAAGTACTCGTGGGTATGTTAGTGTTACCTTGACGAGCTGCTCGTAGCTATCGTAGTCGGGCAGGCAGAGCTGGTTGAAGCACGTGTGCGCCGTGGGCAGCGCGCCGAAGTTGGGCGCCGGCGTGATCTGGAAGCGCGGGTTCAGCTCCTGGCCCAGGCAATGGGGAATTAGTGGCAGAGTAAATACAAATGAGTAGGTCATCTTCATAGAAACGCACCGAGCGCGCAACCACGACTGGCTCCCCGCAAATCCCCGCTAAATTTTGTCAGTGTGTGCGTGCGCGCCGCATACGTATATTGGCGCGCTCACATACAAACCGCGCTCGGTGCGTTTCTATGAAGATGACCTACTCATTTGTATTTACTCTGTTAGTAGGCAGTCTGAAAATAAGCGTGGGACGCCAATGAGAGTACAGTAGCTACCTTACTCTAAAGTGGCGCCAACTGGTGAGGGTAAATAAGACAGTTCATTGATTGATAATGATATGAGGTTCGATGCATCTCAGGCTTATCCACCTCCTTTTCTAATGTTGGTATAACCACAGAAAAATAATAAGTACTACGTACAGAAGTTTTACTTCGCGAAGGTATTTAAAGAAATGTATGCTCAATGTTATTAGCAATATGGTGTAATTTAGCCCGTCTCAAGAATCAAGCACCATTTTGTTGACAAACGTCAGTGATCGGCACTGCGCCGAAGCTATAGGGCTGACTTCGGTAAAATGATATGACGTGAGGTGCCAAACTCTATTGTCAGCAGCCGTGTGTTTCCAACTGAATAAAATGTCACTCCTCTTCCCGTGGATGTCGTAAAAAGCGACTGTAGGACAAAATATGCGTATATCAGGTCTCCTCAACCCGTTTAGTCAGCGTGGGGAGTGCAGGATTGAGAATGTGGGATGGTTGCAGCCGCAGAACCAGGCGAGCACGCTCCCAGCTGGCAGGCACGCACCTGGAAGCCGCCGGGCGGCAGCTGGCTGCAGCCGGTGCTGAAGTGCAGCAGGCGGGCGCGCTCGGGCGGCGTGAGCGCGTGCAGGGCGGCCCAGAACCAGGCGAGCACGCGCTCCCAGTCGCGGCCGCCGCCGGCCGCTCGTGCGTGCGCGCGCCAGTCGGCCACGGACAGCTCGCCCGAACCGCACACCAGCAACTCCAGCTCCATCTCGTCGAACGCCGCTGCAACAACGCTCGCTTTGAGACGGTGACAAATGACGATCGGGATCAAACGTGACCACTCAGAAGCATCACGACGCGTCTTGTCGCGTCACGTAGCGTTGTGTTGCGTCACGTAGCGTTGTGTCGCGTCACGTAGCGTTGTGTCGCGTCTCGTCGCGTTGTGTTGTGTCATTTAGCGTCGTGTCGCATTACGTAGCGTCACGTCGCGTTAAGGTGCGTTAGGTCGCGTCACGTCCTAAAGCGTTGTGTCGCCCGTCACCTATAGTTATGTCGCGTCACATAATATCATCAATGTAATGTCACATATCATCAGTCGTGTTACATAGTCACTTCATTCGTGTCACATCACATAGTCGTATAGGGTGGCCCTATAGCAGTGATGACCAAGAGGTCGACCGCGAAGACGATTTTGGCGAGAGTTAAATAAACTGAACTTATTTTAAAATGTAATATTCGCGCCAAGAACACAGACTATCTATCTACCTATAAATATACTCACATGCTTCGATCAGTCGTAAAACGTGGTAGTATTGTTGCTGCTAAAATGTTTTATTTCACCAGTCGACCGCATGAAATATTTTCGAGCATAAGTAGAAGGTCAAAAGTTTGGCTACCCCTGCCCTATAGCGTCATGTCGCATCTTGCGGCGTTATGTCAGCACAGCACTCACCCAGCAGGTTGTCGGGCACCAGCATTTTGGTCCAAAAATGTGCAAGTATTGTAAACTGTATACTGTAATAATTTAATATGTTGGGCCAAATAAAATATTTTCTTTCTTTCTTTCTTTCTTTCAGCAGCGCCAGGCCGCACAGGAAGGCGTCGGTCCCCACACTCACCCAGCAGGTTGTCGGGCACCAGCAGCGCCAGGCCGCGCAGGAAGGCGTCGGTCCCCACACTCACCCAGCAGGTTGTCGGGCACCAGCAGCGCCAGGCCGCGCAGGAAGGCGTCGGTCCCCACACTCACCCAGCAGGTTGTCGGGCACCAGCAGCGCCAGGCCGCGCAGGAAGGCGTCGGTCCCCACACTCACCCAGCAGGTTGTCGGGCACCAGCAGCGCCAGGCCGCGCAGGAAGGCGTCGGTCCCCACACTCACCCAGCAGGTTGTCGGGCACCAGCAGCGCCAGGCCGCGCAGGAAGGCGTCGGTCTCGGCGCGGCACCGCACGGCCAGCCGCCACTGCGCCAGCAGGTCCACGTATTGTAGCTTCGTGCTGTTCCGAACCTGTTAACAGAGGACGCCCGTTACATCACAATCTCCACAATAGTCAGTAGTGAAGACAACAAAGGACGCGAGGCGTGCGGATATTCGCCGCGGCACCCATTCCCCACGCAGCGCACGGTATCCTTCCGTTTGGCCAAATTACTTTTCGCCAAATTTCACTTCGCAAACAACTTATCGCCAAAGTTTCATTTCCCAAATGAACTTTTAGCAAATGTACTTTTCGCAACTATTTCATTTGGTCAAATTATCATTTGGTCAAATTTTACTTGGCAAATGTTTATATAGCAAATGTTTTATTTTGCCAAATATTATATCCCAAATAATTTATTTGGTCAAATTGAAACTTCACATGCTTACCCACCGTTACCCACAAATCAAAGCACAAGGCAAATGATCATGGTTTTCACAAGAATTTTATGTAAAACAAAGAGATTGCAGAAAATAGTATGGATGCGAAAGTAGGTTTTGCAGAAAATAGTAGGTTAGGTTAGGTTAGAACAGTGACCCTTAACGCGCGAAGGCGAGCGAAGCGTGCCGCGGCAGCGGCCGCCGAGCGCTAGAATCACCTCTATTGTTAATTAATCATTTAGTTTCGATAAAAATAATGAAATATGAAAATAAATTTAGAACAAATTTTATATTAACTACCCACTAAACAAAATAATAACCACAAGCTAATTTGAATTCCATTCTATGCACCAATCAAATTATTTTGTAAATAGTTTATCGTGAAATATTTTTGCCAAATGAAACATTTGGCAAAACATACTTTGCCAAACAATAATTTGCTAAACAATAATATGCCAAAAAAGACATTTGCGAATTAAAAGTTTGCAATAAGTTGTTTTGCCAAATGAGAATTTGCCAAATGAAAATTTGCCCCTTAACGCGCGAAGGCGAGCGAAGCGTGCCGCGGCAGCGGCCGCCGAGCGCTAGAATCACCTCTATTGTTAATTAATCATTTAGTTTCGATAAAAATAATGAAATATGAAAATAAATTTAGAACAAATTTTATATTAACTACCCACTAAACAAAATAATAACCACAAGCTAATTTGAGTTCCATTCTATGCACCAATCAAATTATTTTGTAAATAGTTTATCGTGAAATATTTTTGCCAAATGAAACATTTGGCAAAACATACTTTGCCAAACAATAATTTGCTAAACAATAATATGCCAAAAAAGACATTTGCGAATTAAAAGTTTGCAATAAGTTGTTTTGCCAAATGAGAATTTGCCAAATGAAAATTTGCCAAACGTTGTTTGCCATGTGATAATTTGGGAAACGTTTTTTGGCCAAACATTAGTAATCCGCAGCGCACACGTATGAATATGTTAATGATTTCATCATGTACACATTTTCGCTGTGTGCTGTTGCATAGTAGACGTAAATCCATATCGACCAGCTAAGTTCTGTTTATGAGTTGTCACCGCAGAAACTAAAGGAAGATGCGACAAGGGGGCGTGGCCGGTGTCGTAGCAATATGCCCAAAAACAGAATTCTCGTGAATGCAATGATGACAGCAACGATGTCATAATGTAAACAGGATTGCTTGCGCAGTACTAAAGATTATTCGAACATTTAGTACTGATACCGCAGTGGATACTAAGCACATATTTTGATTACTTTGTGTGCGTTTTCTAATGCGACACTGAGTTTCGAACTCAGCGCACTAGTTGGCATCTCTCTATATCTCTATGGTTGTCACGTGTAGCGTGATCCCCTCTCCGTCTATTTTATGAGTGTGAATGTTAAATGACAAAGACAAGTTATGACGTCACGCGTGGCGCGCAGGCGGCCGGCGGCGTCGTACTGGTCCAGGCCGTCTCCGGCGAGCAGCTGTGACGTCACGCGAGCCTCACCCGTACGTTGGCGCCGTTGGGCAGCAGCTCGCGCGTGGCCCGCAGGCGGCCGGCGGCGTCGTACTCGTCCAGGCCGTCTCCTGTGACGTCACGCGAGCCTCACCCGTATGTTGGCGCCGTTGGGCAGCAGCTCGCGCGTGGCCCGCAGGCGGCCGGCGGCGTCGTACTCGTCCAGGCCGTCTCCTGTGACGTCACGCGAGCCTCACCCGTATGTTGGCGCCGTTGGGCAGCAGCTCGCGCGTGGCCCGCAGGCGGCCGGCGGCGTCGTACTCGTCGTCGGCGAAGTACAGCTCGGGCACGCCGTCGGCCGCGTCCAGATCCGTCTCCAGAACGTACTTGATCTTCGACAGGTATAGCTCGGGATCGTCAGATTCGAAGTACTGCAAGAGACGATCACACGATTTTAGACATTTGTAAAAACATAAAATCTGCATGGTTTTATGTCGGTCGTAGATGCATAAAAGTATGTACTATCGGCCACAGTTCCAGCTTCCCATTTCCGGTCATGTCGTCTCGTTCGATCGCAAACAATCACCATTAATGAGGGCGAGAAATATTCTTTCACTCATTGAAAACATGAATGCGTTTATTTACCCCTTTTTCACACCATATGCCAGTGTGATGCCTCGTCTAGATATAATCTTAAGTCTATGGTATGGTATGAAAATGCAATCTCGTGATGTCACTGTCAGCAAAGACTGGAGTCTGAAAACGCAGTGACTTCCACCCACAAGGTGCTCATAAAGATAACAGGAAAGTCGCTGGATGCAGGCCGCTACCATCGGGTAATATGGAAATCATTGGGCCATGTTCACCAGTGGTCGTCCTGTGGCTAAAATGATGATGATGTAATTTCGTGCTTATTCCTTTGTGATGCATCGTCTAAAGCCCAGTCCGTGAGCACGTAGAATTTTGTCCAATGACCCCTAGCTACCCATCCTTATCGCTCGCGCGTAATTATATTGCTGTCGCGACTATGCGACGGGAACCCGCAGTGAGTGTGCGAGCGCGATAGCAACATAATTACGCGCGAGCGATAAGGATGGGTAGCTAGGGGTCATTGGACAAAATTCTACGTGCTCACGGACCAGACTATAGATAATCTTTAGTCTATGGTATAAAAGTACAACTTTGTGACGTCACAGTTATTCTCTGTACTCACGCGGTAGTGCACGCGCAGGCCGATGATCTGCGCGAGGAAGGAGCGCGTGAGGCGCGCGCGCACGAACTGCCGGTAGGAGCCGCCCAGCGCGCACTCGTACAGGCACTTGCCCACCACCTTGCCCGCCAGCTCGAAGTGCTTCAGCTGCAACCACACAGCACGCTTTAGGCACGGTAATACTATCTATACAGTATTCCAACTCGGCCATATTTTTGAAATAAATGTCAACAGCCCCGCGGTACGTCACCGTATGACAACATGCGATAGGGCTGCCCACCTACAGTACCCATTCTAATTACATCTGTCTACTTAGAATTTCTATCTAGTTTTGTGATTGTATTTTTTTTATTTAGACAAACTAAATACTTTGTGAATGGAATAGGATAAAAATGCGTGTTGTTTTGTGATAGTATGTTTAATTTAAAAAAATATATTAAAATAATTTTTAATCTACTAATCATAATGAGTACTTAATGACCTGTTACTTTAATTTCAGGCGGATGAAGTCGTGGGCAAAAGCTAGTTTAATACAATATAATTTTTATTTCAAATCAAACTGACTGAAAATGACCATTTTTGACAGTTAATAACTTGTTTTTGACAAATTTGACCGTAAATGACGGTAGTAAAATTCAATCACCTTAGTCAGCTAGGCCATCGACGTCCGTTCGGCACATTCGCGACACCCCTAATCCTAACTTTTGGATTTCGACCGCGTCCCGAGATTTGAAATTCGAAGGAAAGCTCGCGTTTCGTCGGTTTATATGAAGTTATAATACTGTATGATATTATTACCGTGCTTTAGGGCTCCGCTAAAACTCACGCGACGGCGCAGGTGACGTGTTTCCACGCACGCAGCAACGTTAAAGTGCATTAACCGGGCGTACCCGCGCAAGTTTTAGCGTAGGCTCCTAAACTACAGAGTTGTCAGAGGATTAACTGTAACCTCCAAAGCTATGTTGACATTCATGCGACTTTACGCTGTCAAGGAAATACCACGAATACATAATTCGACAGGTGGGGGACGGCGACCGTTTGGCAACCGTACCGCGCCGCAGTCGGTGTGTTCCATATAAGTACACGCAAACAATATTCGATTCGTTTCCGAAATTGTGACACGGTTAAAGTTACTGGGTCATACTAATAGCGTTCTAGTACAAATTTGCAAAAGAAAATCAATACTTTCATGATTTTTCGTGACATTATTTTATTGATGTAAAAATGTAATAGCACACGCAAACAATTAATGGTTAATTTACAGCGAGCAGTGATGAAGGAGCGCGGAGGCGCGCGCGCATGAACTGCCGGTACGAGCCGCCCAGCGCGCACTTGCTCAAGCACCAACCAAATAATTTCATAGTCCCGTTTAATTAAGTTTCTTGTATTTAGGCTAAGTTTTCTATTCAATAAATGTATCAGCTCAGCTGCGGACATTGAAACTGTGTTCGTTCTGCAGAAGGGAGCAGTGCGGGCCATTTATAACCTTGGACCCCGATTTTCCTTGAGAGAATTCTTTAAGGAGATTAATATACTGACAGTAGCTTCACAGTTCATTTATGAAAACCTTTTATATGTTCGCAAAAATATAGAGCAATTTACTAAAAAGAGTGATTTACACAAGTTCAATACAAGAAACAAAAATAAACTTGCCGTTCTAAATTTCAGACTGCACAAGATTGGTAATTCATTTATGGGGAAATGTATAAACTTTTCAATAAATTACCACAAACTGTTGTAGAATTGCCCATTCATAAAAAAGCACATATCAAAAGCACCTTAATGAAAAAGGGCTACTATAAAGTTGATGATTATACAGGGTGGAATTTTGTAATGCCACCTGGAGGGAAAGTACTCTTAATATTGTAGATAGAATTTTTTTATCAAAGAAAAAATTCCTTTATTTTTGAAAAGAAATAGAACTGCATTCAAAGATTTCTAACAAACTTGGTAAATAAAATGAAAGGACATGGCATTACAAAATTCCACCCTGTATAAAAGATAAAAATGTTTGGAATGTTTAACTACCTAGCTCGCATCAATACTTATGACTATAATTTGTATATTTCAAAGACTGTAAAACCTTGAAAAGGAGGCTGACAATAGTGACTGAGTTTCTTGCGCTGCTTCTTCTCAGCACTGGCCCATTTATTGTCCCGAAGCAGTGGTAGGGTTAATATTGGGACGTGTAAAAGCGCTTTATAAAAGCCTATTTGCAAAAATAAATGAATTTTGAATTATTTTTATCTTCTGATTTCGAAATATCGTCAGACTACATCGACATACCTTGAGGTGCGGCGGGCGGTTGGGGTTGGGGTGCACGAGCCCGCCGGGCGCGTCGTGGAAGGACACGAACAGCCCGAGCTTGGCGTCGAACAGCTGTCCGCACAGCAATGAGAACCACTCGCGCCGCACGCCGCCCCAGTCCACGCCTAAGCAAAGGACACTTTTTATACTGCATAATTTCACAACTGGGTTCAGGGAACGTCAAAAGGCAAAAATGCAAAAAGGCATCCACTGAAAATCAGTGTCTTGCCATATGTTTGTCTCGAAGCGCTGGTAGGGCCCAAAAGATAAGGAGACATGTAAAGTGCCCCATAAGGGCTACCTTTTTCTTTTTTTATTATTTTCTATTGACGTTCATAAGTGCCACTTGTGGTCTAAACTGAATAAATATTTTTGATTTTGATTTTGATCACACTGTCAAGATATTACTGAGTGGGTGACCTTTTTTGGCAACTTAGTTATATTTTTTTATGTATGTTTTTGTTCCCTGAATCCGTTGTTGTCAAAATAAAGTTATTGTCTTTCTTTCTTTCTTTCTAGTGTGAGTTTTCATCAAACGCATTCGATATCGAGTGCGTCAAAAAATATATGAAAATTTCAGTTCTTGAAAGAGAGCGTAGAGAGCGACTCCTTTGCTCGGGCCCTCCCTGTGAGTAGCGACAGAAGCCGTGAACCGAATTACTGCACTACGATAACAAACCGAAGTGTAGGTTTGTTGTCGACACGAAACAAAGAAGTTCTTGAAATTATCCGCTAGGGACGCTGTATCCATCATACGTTTAATGACATATTTTTACGCAGTCGATATCGAATACTTTTGATGTAAACTCACACTAAGCTCCCAGTAGAATACATGACCCTTGGCAAAGCCGGAATCGGCAGTCCATCATCAACATCAATGGTTTGTTGTGGTCTCAAAACTTTGTTGAAGGTCTTCTTCACGTTGCCACTGAATGCGCAACATTCGTACGAGACCAAACTCTTTGTTTTTAATGAGACCAAACTAAGGATCTGTGTTTGATGCCTGTTTACATACCAATAAAGATATTAACTATTGAGATAACTATATACCAATAGAGATGATTCCTGTGCAGGCTGTTTGTCATACAAATGTTGAACCAAAAGATGCCACAGCTGGACATAGGCCTAGAAACTTCACAATGATCGACCCTATACTGGCCGCGACGAGCGCCTGGCCATAAAGCGGCGACATTCTGTTGTGGCTTCTTTGCATTTGCACGCGAATTCGCGTGATAAAACTGTAAGTTAGTTTAAAGCGTTAAAATATTTGGAGGGACCACATATAGATCGTGCCATCCACGAAGACGCGCCCCACCATTCTTCCGGTAATGTTTGAGTGTTATCGGTACACGCTAAATTATCCATGAGTGCACACGCACACTACAATAATGCCGCTCGGATTGCTCGGATCAAACCCCCTTCACCCCGCGCTTCCCTCGACAAAAAAAATGGTGGGGCGCGTCTTCGTGGATGAAACGATCTACGACGCGCTATGTCATGTCCTATATCGAATAGAGCAGGGGTGGCCAACTTGATTAGACATAAGATCTACTGTTTACTAACGAAACCCTGGGTGATCTACCATTTACATACTTCTTGAAATATTAAATGAAACAGCATAGTTTAGTACACAATCATGTAGTATTTTTTGCCTTGCCACGATCAACTGGACTAATTATTTAATTAGATTCCGACTACTGTATACAAAATATTTGCATGCATTCTTTGATGAAGCAGAACATGAGCACATTTTAACATGTAACACCTATATTTAATTATGTATACCATGTTTTAAGCAAATAAATAAATTATCTTATCTTATCTTAATAGTCGCGATCGACCGGGGTTGGCCACCCCTGCAAGAGAGGGTGTATTCTCAACCTTTATTTTACCTTGCTCTCCCTGGAAGGTGACATCGAAACTCTTGCACCAGTCGGCGCGCGTGAAGTGCTTGGTGGCCTTGAGGCTGGATGCCAACAGCTGGTCGCGCAGCACGCGCACGGCCAGCTTGTCGTGCGGGTGCCGCGCGTGCAGCTTGCGCAGCTCGCTGTAGAAGTAGTCCTGCTTGTTCTGCAAGGGGCCACTCATGTGAGGGTCTGTTAAGGAAGTGCTCGTGGCCTGGCGGCTGAGGCCAGCAGAAGTAGTTCTGTACTAAAGCCTGGTCCGTGAGCACGTAGAATTTTGTCCAATGACCCCAAGCTACCCATCCTTATCGCTCGCGCGTAATTATGTTGCTGTCGCGCTCGCACACTCACTGCGGGCGCCCGTCGCACAGTCGCGACAGCAATATAATTACGCGCGAGCGATAAGGATGGGTAGCTTGGGGTCATTGGACAAAATTCTACGTGCTCACGGACCAGGCTTTATACAGAATAGGGTAAGGGAGCTCACAGACGAGCGACCGTATACCGGCGACTAATGTTGACGATAAATGCCTGTGCATCGCAACTCTCGAAGACGGGCAGTCACTAACTTGTAGTCAGAGTGTCAACATGTCATGACAGCGAAAGGCACGAGTCGGAGACTGTTGCAGATAGTCGCCTGAAGTCACTGACTGACGCCTACCACTATCACAAACAGTCTCTGACATAATGTAGGTAGTCTGTGAGCTCTCTATGATCTGTGTTCAATTACGGTCGACAACGGAATCAGTATCGACTATTTTTCGGGTGCAATCGCACATATTATTTCGTTTCCGACGCAAGATTTCGGTTGGTGCTGAAAAGAAGTGACGAAAAACTCACAAAACCATATCTTCTGCCAAAATCCATCTCTGCCATATCTGCCACCTATCACAATCAGGGTTCGAAATTATCAAGATAATTACGCTGCATGATAATTATCAGATAATTATCAGCATTATAAGATACATTTGTAATATTGTTTCATAAGAAATTCTGATTGGGAATGTTGCTTTATGTTTTTGTTTGCTGATTGTTGTCAAGATAACCACCGCTAGTCGCATAAAGCTTGGAAAATAGATAAATATTTTGACGCTAGATAACTGTGATCATTGTAGAGCTAAATAGATAGATATCTATGTTGACTAACACCCACCACTAGACACAAGTGCGAAAATACACGTTCGAAAACTTCGCATACAGTTCATTTTCATGAGCGCATTTTTTTATTATTATTATTACCTATGTCTAATGGTTCAAAGGCAATAAATACATTTTTTACTTTTTATTTATTTTTATCAACTGATAATTATCCATCTGTTATTATCACGATAATTATCATTGATAATTATCCTTTCGAACCCTGATTTAAAAAAATCTCACGGAACAGTTTCGCTGTCAATAAGACCGACCTTGAAGGTGTCCTCGCCGCCGCAGTTGGCCAGCAGCAGGTGCGTGAAGGTGGCGGCGAGCAGGTCGCGCTCGGGCGCCCACAGCTTCAGCGGCGCCTGCACGCCGTCCTCCACACAGAACTCGCCGCCCGGGCCCGCGCCCAGCGGCCGCGGCGCCAGGATCAGCTGGAAACGGCCCGATTAGATCAATCAACCAGGATAAACGAGCTTTGCATGTGTGGTGGCTCGCTACTGTTCGTTCGTTTTTTAAACGTTAAGCATGTACACGTACACACACACGGGTGGGGCTCGCTCGCCTTCGTGAGTTGCTTAAGAACTAAGCTCAAGAACTATATTATTTGTTGTATTGGTTGTAATTTTTAAGTATTGCATGAGTAGATATAGTACAGTGTAGTAATTAGCAGGAAACACAATGAATGCTCGGGCTGGGTGGCGCCATCTTGCTGTAACTTTAATAATCTTCAAAAATCTATCAAATTCCATACAAAAAACACCCAGTTACTGCTATGGTAACAGTTGAAAGAGGCTGGTGCAACTGAGCCCGAAAACTAAGGACGAGAACTATTGCCGACAAACTGTAATGCAGTTTGGCAAGTGTATCTTTATGTATTGATGTGTATCCTTTTGTGAACAATAAATTAAAAAAATGATCTCAGATGTTATAAACATGCAAGCAAACTTGCAAACTTGGCGGCGCACTGCAGACGAGGCGAAGAAAATCGGCAAGACCTGGAGCGAGATCAAACGCGAAGCTCAAGACCGAACGCGATGGAGGACTGTTGTGGACGCCCTCAGCCCCATCTAAGGGATATAGGACCTTAAGTCAAGTAAGTCAATGACCTCAGGTGTTACACACAATACGACGATATCGATAGAAGAATAAGGTCCACATTCACGCTCATTAGTTGCCGCTACCAGCGAGCGACAGGAGCCAAATACAGTGGCGTCGTCCAGGTGAATGCGAATGCGATAGGCTTACTACCGTCTGACTTCCAAGTGGCTTAGACAAATGGCACCGACTGATAAACGCATATATCAACAACATTTAAACAAGTCGCGAGTCTAGGGAGACCAGGAAGCGATAGCCCCGCAGTCCTTCCGAATCTTATTTAGGGAGGCATTGGAGAGCGATAGCCACGCAGTCCTCTTCATATCCTCATTATAGGGCTGCAACCTTATTTGTACTTAAGTTTCATGATAAAATTGTATCCAGAACCACAATAAAACTACATTATTACCAAGGGGCCTTCAATTTTCTGTACTTGCAACCCTATATCTTTTTAAAACAAAAATCAAAAATTTACTGGGTATTATTTTGCATAGGAGCTTTCAAAGTCAAAGTCAAAAATTAGGGTTTGAATTTGTGAATGATCATTGATCATGATCAGTCTACAAATATGTCTGAGTGACAGTGTAACTCTTACCTTAGTGGACGGGCACAGACGGAAGGAGGTGATGCGCTTAGGGATGAACTTGAGGATGTAGTCCTTGACGATGAGCTGCTTAGGGCTGAGGCAGCACAGAACGCGCCGAGGCTTGGCGCCGGCCAGCCGCGCCTCGTAGCACACGCCGTGCCGCTTGGCAGACATGTTGCGGGAGACTGTGGCTGTGTCGCTCGCTGGAACAAGCAACGCGAATTTTATTGAAGTCCCGATTACATTATGCAGAATTACCGATTAATTTATGCAGAAGATTGTAATTTAGTAGTTAAACGCATAAAGTGAAACGCGCAAAGGGTGCGAAAGGAACCTTTTTTGAACAGAAAATTTATGAATAGTTTTGACTTGACATTGGTTGTCATCTGAAATTGAACCAGACGTACACACGGCCACACTGTTAACTATCCATTTCCGTTTTTGCTCTCGCTCTCATCAAATGGTGATTCTTTGCGATAGAACGAGACGACATGACAAGCAATGGATAGTTAACACTGTTGCCGATGGCACGCCGTGCGCTTTTCGTGCCCGCTAATGTTTTTATTGATGTTATCGTGCGTAAAATTGAGAATACAGTTTATTACGATACAATAATTCGGTATTTCACTGCACGAGTCATACACCACCAACAGTGGTCCTTCGAGCCAGATTTGAATCAGTGACCTATAGAATAATGCTTTAAACCAGCGACCTACCCAGAATATGTGCAGAAATTAATGTTATATTTAAACCAGCGACCTATGGACCCAGAATATGTGCAGAAATTAATGTTATGCTGGAACCAGAACTAAGCCACGTTTGTACACGGGGTCGAATCGAGAGTACACAGTCTGAAGTCCAGGAAGAACACGGAATGCTAAGTACGGTATAAACGAGCTAAGTTTGTACACGGAGTCAAATCGAGAGCACACAGCCTGAAGTCCTGGAAAGTACATGGTAAGTACTGAATAAACCCCGGATACTCTCAGCGCACTTAAGGGACTCTTAACTAGGTCTAAATAAGACGTCAATATGTAGGTGACAATTTAATGCTTGACAAAGGTTGTCAATGCTGTCAATGGTTCACAAAGGTTCATTATGTCAAAGCCGTCCAGGTATATAAAGCCGGGGAAAAAAATCTGGACACCGCGGTACAGCTTTACGCGTCTCAAAGAGCAGTGACATCTCTCGGCAAATAACACAAACAAGTTTCATGGAAGGTTTATAAAAGTACCGTTCAGTACCTGTGAGCACGATGCAGTGGAACTGGCCGTGCAGCAGCAGCACGCCGGCGCACGACACGCGCGCCAGGTACACGCCGGGCTCTTGGAAGCACAGCGCCATGCTGACAGCTGGTCCAGTACCTGTGAGCACGATGCAGTGGAACTGGCCGTGCAGCAGCAGCACGCCGGCGCACGACACGCGCGCCAGGTACACGCCGGGCTCTTGGAAGCACAGCGCCATGCTGACAGCTGGTCCAGTACCTGTGAGCACGATGCAGTGGAACTGGCCGTGCAGCAGCAGCACGCCGGCGCACGACACGCGCGCCAGGTACACGCCGGGCTCTTGGAAGCACAGCGCCATGCTGACAGCTGGTCCAGTACCTGTGAGCACGATGCAGTGGAACTGGCCGTGCAGCAGCAGCACGCCGGCGCACGACACGCGCGCCAGGTACACGCCGGGCTCTTGGAAGCACAGCGCCATGCTGACAGCTGGTCCAGTACCTGTGAGCACGATGCAGTGGAACTGGCCGTGCAGCAGCAGCACGCCGGCGCACGACACGCGCGCCAGGTACACGCCGGGCTCTTGGAAGCACAGCGCCATGCTGACAGCTGGTCCAGTACCTGTGAGCACGATGCAGTGGAACTGGCCGTGCAGCAGCAGCACGCCGGCGCACGACACGCGCGCCAGGTACACGCCGGGCTCTTGGAAGCACAGCGCCATGCTGACAGCTGGTCCAGTACCTGTGAGCACGATGCAGTGGAACTGGCCGTGCAGCAGCAGCACGCCGGCGCACGACACGCGCGCCAGGTACACGCCGGGCTCTTGGAAGCACAGCGCCATGCTGACAGCTGGTCCAGTACCTGTGAGCACGATGCAGTGGAACTGGCCGTGCAGCAGCAGCACGCCGGCGCACGACACGCGCGCCAGGTACACGCCGGGCTCTTGGAAGCATAGCGCCATACTAACGCGCTGGTTCACCGAGTCGTATGCAAACGACACCATGGACGATAGCTTCTCATCTTCTTCTTCCCCCAGGAGGTTTATCTTCGCTGTGAAGTCCTGAAAAAAAAATTCACTTTAGGCCCAGAACAGACGGTGAAACGCAACTGCAACGAATCTGCAACTTTGTGATGATTCTGATGAATGAAACTGAAAGTTTCAAACTGATCGCGTCATGTGTGGTCTCTCAACGGACGCTATGGCAGAAACTTAGATGCAACTCAAAAGTAACTAGCAGTTGCGGTTTCGTTGCAGTTGCGTTTCACCGTCTGTTCTGGGCCTTAGAGCAAGGTTTCTCATTCCCAAACTTTATTTCGCCTTTATTCTCCTGGTTAGGAAGTCCTGCTTTATGACAGTCATATTTCTATAGGTTCAGCCGAACCAACGCCTGCAGCCTACGTGGCTAAAGCCTTAGAGTCAGAAAATTAAGCTATTGTTATCAATGTAATTTTAATTTTAATTTTATTTTTATCAGTGTATTTTCTCCTTTCCTCTTTATCATAAATATCTTAATCTATTTAGTTATATTTATGTACTTAAACTCACCACACCCCAACCGTCACGTTGATTGTGACGTTGACGTGTTACGCGCGCTCTTTCGTCCTTAGGCTATAGTTGAAAATCAGTCGTTTGCTTTAAAGTAAACCAATTACTGAGCTATTGCCGTTTTGCATTGCTGCGACACACATTTCTGTATAGTGTGTACCTATATTGTATGTCATAATGTTTTTTTTCTTTTTTATTTCTGTCTTACCATACCATGTCATATTGTCCTGAGGGTACTATTTTATCCTACTTTTGGTACTTTCTGTTTGTAATGTGTGTTTCTGTTATGCAAATAAACGTTTTATCTATCTATCTATCTATCAATGCCCCCGCGCGTCCGATTCGGCCGTACTCACGCTGACGTCAGCGGCGGCGAGCGGCGCCGGGTTGTCGTACTGGTCGCGCGGGTGGATGTGCAGCGTCTTGTCGTGCGTGGCGGTGCACACGAGCGCGGCGTGGGCGCGGCCGACCCGCGACAGGCGCGCGCACACCGCGCCCGCCAGGAAGCGCCGCCGGAACGGGCTGCCGCAGACGCCCGCGCCCCCTGCACAGAGAAAAACACGTAATGTGTTTTACTAAACCCGGTCGAGTTTTCAAAGTTAACTGCACACCTAGCGGTCGTGACGTCACATCGACGCTCTAGCACGAACGGGGAGATAAGCGGGTGAGTGCGAAGGAAAGTTGCATTCCAACGAGGTGCGCATTTAACTCGACCGGGTTGTATCTATTTCCGTATAAGGGTGCCTGTGCGTTTATAGGCGCTGCGCTTGGACTGCTCTGTTTGTCCATATAAATAAAAACACGTAACTGTTGCGCTACATACACGCTGCGTCAGAGTTCGTTGTGAAACTATGTAGGTACAACACTACAATTCTTGAACCTTGCGGCACTCATTCGCGCGAAACTTTTTAGCAAAACAAGGCGCATTAACAGTTCCGAAACTCTAGACTTTAAACACCAGAGATTAAGCAGCCACTGACCGATGGTGACGGAGATGACGTAGAGGCCGGCGATGCACACGGTGAACTTGACGCGCGCCGTGTGTTTATTATATTTGAAATAACTTTGCAGCAAAATATGGTGCATTAACAGTTCCGAAACTAGTCTAAAGCCTGGTCCGTGAGCATAATTATGTTGCTGTCGCGCTCGCACACTCACTGCGGGCGCGCGTCGCACAGTCGCGACAGCAACATAATTACGCGCGAGCGATAGGGATGGGTAGCTTGGGGTCATTGGACGGGATTCTACGTGCTCACGGACCAGGCTTTAGCAGCGTTTAAAACACTAGAGATTGAGCAGCCACTGACCTATAGTGACGGAGATGATGTAGAGGCCGGCGATGCGCACGGTGAACTTGACGCGCGCCGTGTGCGCCCGCGCCGGGTCGCCCGAGCCCAGCTCCAGCACCGGCGTGATCTGCGAACGATCATGCACGCCCACAACCATATCATTACAGCGTTTGTAAATAAAAATGGCATCTATAACACGTACTTTTCAATATACGCTTTTTCTTCGACCAGAATCTTTTGAAATGGAAGAAAGATTAAGTCATTTTACAAAACTATGGCCAAATATGTTAAACGTGCGTTGAACACTGGTTAAATAGACAAACGTTAAGAAATATTTAGGGTTGTATTGAGTTGAGGGTTACATTTTAAAGTCTCTGAGTTTTGAGGATTTTAAAGTAAGGAAGTAAACAGTCGCATGCGCAGGTTGACAACACCAGTCTTAAGCTATATTTTATTAATCTTCCAGTTTGAAATTTCAAGATGTCTATCATCTATAACAGCCTTTAGGGGGTTCGCCTTCGAGCATAGGCCTCCTCTTCAACCCTCCACCGACTTCTGTCCCTGGCCACTTGGATCCAGTTCACTCCAGCCTGCTGCCGGATGTCGTCTGTCCATCGTTCGGCGGTCTTCCCCTGTCGCGGGTGTTGTTGCGGGGTCTCCATTCCAGGGTCTTTCTGGCCCAGAGATCTTGGTTCACCCGTGTTCAAGATGTAAACATTGAAAATTGGAAAGAAGTAAAAACCGTAGTTAGCTTCTTTGATAGCTACCTTCCTGGTGCCGTGGGAGACGATGACGGTGAGCTCGTCGGTGTCGCAGATGGGGTAGGGCTGGCCGTTGCGCTGGAAGCACAGCACCGTCAGGCACATGGTCTCGCCCACCACGTGCGGGTCCTGCCAACCCCACTCCACCTAAGGGAACCAATGCTAACTTTAACCACACGTCTATAACTACAGGGCTACTCCGAAACGCTGTTTAAAGTTTCGGGTCTATTGTGATCGTCGCTTATGCTGGCTATTTCACTTTGCGTGAGAGGGATTGCAACATTCGAAACTTTGGATAGCGTTTTTCGGTGTTAGACTCCGCTAGCCAATTAGTTACATAAGGGTGGCTCACTGTCGTTAACTGTCTGTGTGCATGTAAAATGATGTCAATATTATACCAGCATTGTACCTCACCAGGTCACCAGCATACAGCATGACGTGGGATTTTAGGCCGGAAGAGTCTAACTTTTGGGGTTTTAAATTTAGATAGACTCCATCTATCACCACCACCATCTGGAGGAGCAACATTGATTACAAATCAAAGAAGAATCACCGAGTATTTAACAAATAACGATATCGTTTTAGTTCCATGCCAAGACAACGGGTTTTTGAGACCGCTTTTCTTCCACTAATCTCCATCCAGACTATATCCAGATAAGTCCACACAGGTTTTCAAATTTCCACTTTAGCGTCAGTTTACAAGCTGAAATTTTTACAAAAATTCTGTGAAAACGATATAACAAACATTTATATCCTATAGCATAGGTCCTTAGGCAAATAGTTAGTTGAGAAAATTCTTAGATTTAAGCATTTTACAATAAGAAATCACAAATTCAAAGAACGTGAAATACCCAAAAATCAAAGTGATTTTTACACCATTATTCGTCTTTAATTTAACATAAAAATAGCTTAATATAATAAAATAACATCTTCTTTAAAATATTTACTTTGAAACGATATATAATTCATTGTTATTGTTTTGCTATAAACATACATAGCGCTTCGCGTAAACGCTTTTATCTATTTTATTCAATGGGAATGACTGGAGTAATCCAAAATAACATGTACGAGTGGTTCTTACCCTGCAGCTGGGCGGGTGCAGGTACTTGCCGGTGACGTACTGCAGCAGCGAGTGCTTGGCCTCGGGCGCCAGCGACGGCTGCGTCATGGCCGCCAGCGTCACCAGCCCGCACACGGACACCGACACCACCAGCATCCCGCCTGCGACAACAAGCGCCACTGATACATCCTTACATCTAAATATACATAACTCAAAGGTGACTTCTTCTTCTTTTCGTGTCGACAACAAACCTACACAGTGTCAGCCCAAAACTCCGAGTGGCGTTGTCAGTAGCACTCATCAAATCCTCCTGAGTGCAGTTGCTTGGGCACTCAGGGCATGACATCAGGTGCTTCACCGACTGGGAAACAAAACCGCACCTGCACTCCATGTTTAAGCCATCCAAGAATCCCCACCTGACCAGATTGTCCTTACTACGGCCAACCTGCGTCCGAAGTCTATTTAATGGTGACTGACTGACTGACATAGTGATCTATCAACGCACAGCCCAAACCACTGGACGGATTGGGCTGAAATTTGGCATACAGGTAGATGCTATGACGTAGGCATCCGCTAAGAAAGGATTTTACGAAACTCCACCCCTAACTCCCCTAAGGGGGTAAAACGGGACCCACGCGTACGAAGTCGTGGGCGGCCGCTAGTTCACGTATAATAGGGACAAATATCTGTCAAAAGGTAAATGTAAAGTACGAATTCGTGGTTCTTATGCTACGTCCAGTAATTGAGTATGGAGATGTACCTACACATCATCATCATCATTTCAGCCACAGTACGTCCACTGCTGAACATAGGCCAATGACTTCCACATCGCACGGTTGGTAGCGGCCTGTATCCAGCGCCTTCCTGCTACCTTTATCAGGTCGTCGGGCCGCCTTGTGAGTGGACGTCCCACGCTGCGTTTTCCGGTACGTGGCCTCCACTCCAGAACCTTGCTGCCCCATCGGCCGTCAGTTCTGCGTACTATGTGCCCTGCCCATTACCACTTCAGCTTGCTAATCCGTCGGGCTATGTCAGTGACTTTAGTTCGTTTACTTGTACCTACACGACCTTACCGAAGTTCTGGAGTGGAGGTCACGTACTGGAAAACGCACTGGGGACTTCCACCCACAAGATGGACCGACGACCTCATAAAGGTAGCAGGAAGGTGCTGGATGCAAGCCGCTACCAATCGAGCAATGTGAAAATCATTGGGGGAGGCCTATGTTCAGCAGTGGACGTCCTGTGGCTGAAATGATGATGATGATGAGGAAGTTACCCCACGTCCAAGCGTCCTGTACGGCTAGCACGAAAAACTTTCGAGTTCAAATCGTTTGCGTATTCGAATCGCCATCAAAAGATTTAGTACGAAAACTACAACAGCGCCCTTGTAAACGTGTCGTAAAGTGAACTTAGTATGAGAAATAGTTGCACTAAACTTATTTTGAGAATCAAAATTGTCACGTTATCGTTCAATTCGAAGATTGAGTATCGATTTTTGTCGAATACGCAAACGATTCGAAATCGAAAGTTTATCGTGCTAGCCGTACTGGTGCTTGCTGTTCAAAACGACGGCGCTCCATAGCTCGCCCTTGAGCGTCTGCAGCGCCTCCTTGCCGGTGGCAAGGTCTGGGCACCGGCAACTACGCGTCGGAGTCCTGCGGGTGATCTAGTAAGATGGAAGCAGTGGCACCCCACGTCCAAGCATCCTGGTGCTTACTATTCTTAACAACAGCTCGCCCTTGAGCGTATGCAGCGCCTCCTTACCGGTGGGCATTCTCTGAGCGCAGCCGAAGTCGTGCGGGTAGTCTAATCTAGAAGAAGGAAACAGTATTACCCCACGTCCAAGCGTCCTGGTGCTTGCTGTTCTTGACGACGGCGCTCCACAGCTCGCCTTTAAGCGTCTGCAGCGCCTCCTTGCCGGTGGGTAGGCTCTGGCGCGCCGCCGACCACGCGCCGAAGTCCTTGGGGTCAAGCACATGCTGCGCCGTCCGGTCTTCCAGCCAGTACACATCTTCCAGTGATGACACGTCCAGGCTCAGGAGTCTGGAAAAAACGGAACTTGTAAAAGGTCAGGCAGAAGTATCGGCTTTGTCAATATTTTATTATTTTTTTATAATAATCTTCAGTCCTAACCATGTTACCTATTTACGAACGGGGTCTCTACCCTATATCAAGACTGCCTACGCGTTAGCTTCATTGCCTGTGAACGCCACTAGTTTCTCTGAACACGAGTAGGTAACATCTTCGAAAACTGAATGACCAGACCTTATTAAGCTAAAAGCAGGCTGCATACAGGACTCTTCGCTGAGCAATGACGACTTAATTAACTCAATACGTCATATTTTCTACTTTTATTACACTCTAATGGATTCTTAGAATATTTACCAGCATTATGGACCACGTGTTTTGACTTTAGCAAGATACGTTTACCCGGAAATCAACATTCCAAGAATAAAGACTTATTTTCCCTAATCCATTCCGACCCACTGTGTGTATAAAACGAAGAGGAAATAAGGACTGTGAAAAGGAAAAGAATTTAACGTACGACGAACATTCCAAGAATCTGAACAAGAGAATTTAACAATCTAATTTGCGTAACCGAGTAATACTGAGGGGCACGATTGTCTTCAAAAACAAAAAGGCAAATCTCACAGCACGAACTGTAATTAAATTCTCAAGTGACAGATAGACAAATTGAATAATACGCTGGAATAATTCGGTTATGTCACTCTTTCAGATTTACTGAAAAACCATTTGGAATATTCCGATCCAAATGCATTGCAATAAGGGCCCCCAATTTGTGCCAAACCCGTAAAAAACACCATAACGCTCTCCATAAAATCTTCCTATGTAAAACGATAGTCTTCTAGTTGCTTAGGCTAAAAATTAGTTCAATATTGTATTTATCACGCAATATTGCGTTATTTAGTACGAAATAATAAAAAATCTTACCCTTGGGGTCTAGTCTATTTAAAACATATTATGGTAGTAAAGAAAGTTATAACCCAGAGTTACTGAAGATGGAAATTACACCTACTAACATTAAGGCTTAAGTTGAAACTTCCGTTGCGTGCGGCGCGTGCAACTAATCAAAAGTTTACAAATTACCTGGAACTTAAATTGGTCACGCTTCAGACTGTATTTGATACCGTTTGCACTCGGGTAGGTACAGTCAGCGTCAAATAGTTCATGACACTCAAAGTAGCCAAAAAGTTCGCAACGCGTCTTTTTTACAATTGGAATAAGGTTAATTATAGTAATATAGTAATAGTATACAGGGTGTTAGGTAAATGGGTATATAAGCCGACACTAGCCCATGTTAACATGGTCATATAAATAAATTTTATAAAATCCGATTTGTATGAAAATTAAAATAATTAAAATGAAGATATAAATTTTCTGACTTCACCATACCATTTATATGACCATGTCAACATGGGCTAGTGCCGGCTCATATACCCATTTACCTAACACCCTGTATAAGTAGTATATCCGTTAAGCTTAGCACCCATAACACAAGCATTAAGTTGCTAACTTTGGGGCTAGCTGGCGCTGTGTGAAATTGTCCAAAGATTATTTATTTATTATTTATTTTAATTATGTTGTCAACTTTTAGGGCACTTTCGGTGTCACGAATTATTTGGCACTGACTGTACTTATGCAAAGGCGGATTCGGGATTTCTGATGGCTTTAAATTGAAATGAGATTGAGATTGATATTGATCCCGAGAGGACGAAGTGTCGACTGTCGACCAGTCGTCAGCGCAATGTTCGCGATAAGGGCTAATTCCACCTGAACGACTCAATTACAAAGTCCGAAGGCGAACACTGAACTTCAGCGTCTGGTTCGATATGAATTTATAATATGTAACTAACAAAGTAATACACCCATATATTATAACGGGTGTTTGGCCGGGTCAATAATCTGTATTTAACCAGGGAAAGTTCAGTTGTATACAACTTATACATAAGTTCTATTCATATTTACCTCCGAGTATGTTTATTGGCACATAAATGTAGTACATTTTCACAATGTTGAAAAATATTGGAACATTATTCCTACTATTACCTACTTTCACGGCGCATCGAACGAAAATAAAAACAGATCTACGAAGATATGATCGAAGTAAAAAATCCTAAAGCTTAATCAGTGTAAGCGTCCGCTCGCGTTCCGCGACCCAACTCAACATTTCCTCGGTTTGTCCCACGCTGCCCGTCAGGCGAAGAACCCTAGCGGGCGTGATAAGTATGCACGTCAGTCGTCACGTTACGGAAAGTTATGACGCCATGACGTGATATCTGGCTAAAGGGATTCATGCCGTTCATTTTATGAAACTCGCTCAAAGCTAAGTGCAAGTGCTTTAGATAGCAAATTAGTAGGTTCAATTCATGATCGCATCTATTTGTCCCTTTGTAAGTTGTAATTTAACACTTATATTGTTTTGTATTTGTTATGTACGGGTAAAGTGTAGGTAAAGATTTGATAACATTTCATTATCTACACTAATATTATAAAGAGGAAAGATTTGTACCTATTTTTGTATGTTTGTAATGAATAGGCTCAAAAACCACTGAACGGATTTTGATGAAACTTTACAGTATTATTGTTCATAATCAAGAATAACATATAGGCTATAATTTATGACGATCTGTGACAAACGAAATTTCACGCGTGTGAAGCCGCGGGCAAAAGCTAGTGTTAAATAACTTTAACTCCTGTATCATTTACTGACTACAGGAAGTTTAACTAACTGTAAAGAACATCAAGAAATCGATGATTGTCAAGGCCACATTTATTTGGTCAAGTCATCGGAGTTTGGGGAAATTTTGTGATCAAATACGAAAAAAAATAATGTGTGGTAGGGGTGAAAGATAAATTCAAGAACGAGAGACTTATAATTGGAAATCCGCCAGTGGCTGCATCTAATGTGCACTGAATGCGGTGATTCAGTGCTGGAAGTCGATCGATAGCATGGTCGAGATAACAATGAAAGTCCAAGGTTCTTTCCAACAAACCTTGTTTAAAATTATTTTAAAGGCTAGCAAAACGGCAGTCAATACCTAATTTTATCTATCGCCTTCTTTATACACATATTAATTATCGTAAAGCTTAGTAAACCGGATCAAATGTATGAAGCTCTAAGTTTCATCGTCGCGTCGACTAGTAAAATTTCCTGTCATCTGAGTTCCCTTTTTCATAAAAGCGTTGGGTCTATCGGCTCTCTTAACGATTTACCGATTTTTAGTTCTTCCCATATCTCCCGTTCGACAGATGCTGTCATAAACAATCGTCCGATAGAGCCGAAATTCGGGAAGCGCTTTGCAGGCCCACTGGGTTGGGTTAAGTGCGAGAACCCGCCGCTTGATGGACGGCCGCATCGGGGTAATCGCTTCAGCGTTAATGGCCCGATGTCGAACGCTGATTTTCACTCAGCGAGCTGGTATTTTGACGCCTCAGAAACCCAACAACTTACATTTGAAATCGCACATATCGTATACGAATATAGTACACATTCGTATAAGAACCTATACTACATCTAACATTTTATTTTAAGTGCGATCTTAGTTTCGAAGAGAGTGAAGATTTGATAAAAAATTGACATAAATACTTATAGTCTTAATTAGTGTTCGCTATAATCTAAAAAAATAAGCGATGAACGGATTACAACTGTACATAGCATATTGCTTCAAAAACAAATAATGTTTGAGCCACAATGCAAGGGCCCTTGCAAACGCATTAAAACCTGACTTGGCACCGTTTTCAGCGTCCGCGCCAAGCTTTCAGTCCGAAACGTTATGCCAAACGACAAAAGCTTCGAATTTTACTACTTTCACAACAGTCAAACCCTCTAAAAAATCTTTTGTTGGAAACCCGTTCACGAAAGTATTTTTGTTGAGTTTACCCTTTGGACTCCGCATGAAAATTTTCAATTTTTTGGGCCAAAAATAAATTAAAACTTTTTACGATCCGCCCACCGTGTCACCGCCCGCCCAACGCAGACAGGAACGTCGGCCAGCTAATTGAGCTGTGTTCCAAAGCCTCACTCAATTTATAACTTTCAGACACACAGCAAAAAAACTCAACTACTTATTCTGTCTGACGAATGACGGGCGAAGGTGGGCGTTGAAGATTTCTAAACTTGGATAGTTAGGAGTTATGAAATTTTACCTCAAACTTTTTTATTATTTTTGAGAAAACTCTTGCTAACTACGACCTTATTTTATTTAATTGAATAAGTTTATTAGTATAAAGCAAACGTTACACAAAAATCTCCGAAAGATCTTTCTGACATTTAAAGAGTATTTCCCGGTAAAAATTAAGCGTTTCATGACATAGGTAGGTACGTATTTCACAATACACACATAACATTTGGTGTTTTGAACGTAGCACGAGCATAACGACCTGGTGGTGCATTCTCAACCCTTAACATCACATCAAGACGAACTGCATTCTATCGTCCATTCATTCATACATAATTTTTTTTTTTTGTGATAATGATTTCTGCAATCAGTCGCCAGACTATAATCAGATATGTTGAGTGTCATTTTATTGTTAAAGAGCAGCTGGCCTATGCCTAAGCTGTCTTCTTAAATTACGTGGTTTCTTTTTAGCCTTTTAACCACGTTGTCATTCTCCAGTAATCCATAGGCGAGTGGATTGGGGTGATGAGTAAGACGTTCGATGTGCAGTTTCTTGTATCGCTCTATTTCTGCGGCCACGGTTGTGTCAACAATAAAGCCATCAAAGACATCCAATATATCTTCCAACAACGAGTTAAAATAGAAGACCCTCGTAAGTCTAAATCTATTCATACATAATGAAAAAAATATCATTACTATAATAAGACTAAATGAAAACACCGTTTTTATTCCTATTTAAATGACGCCATTCGGCCTAATGGCGGAGCTGCTTTGTCGTTAGCGATAATAACCATTTCCATTACAGCCTCGGCCGATTTACTACCCGCTGGAACAAATATTGGCCGTCCCTTTATGAATTTTATTTTCAGAGCTTTATTTACAGTCATTTGAATATCATTAAGAAATAA